GACTGCCTATTTTCACTTTTTGTTGGTGGAAAGAAAACATGCATCTGTTCCATCTGTTTGAGCTGATGGGCTCTGGGACCGGGTAAGTCTGCCAGCCTGCACACAGGGAGTCTTATTCCTCTGTCTTCTGGGCTTTTAGCCTTCTGGACCCTTCTGGGTCAATCTATAGGACCACTGGTAAGGGACAGGACTTGGAAGTGGCTCCATACCTGTCTCTCCTCAAAGGAGGGGAAATCTGTCTAAGAGGGATCTCATCTGTCTGTTTCTGGAACCTGCACAAGAATGGGAGGATTTAGTTCCATCCCATCTCAGAGCCTGTTGGGGCGAAATCTGTCTGATGGGCATACTTATAGTTAGGATCCCATGTCAAAAAATGAAATCATATTTTATTGGAGCGCTGCTTGGCCTATGCATGTTTTGAGCTCGGAAGCAAGATGACCACTAAATAAACCTTTAAGTTATGACACCATCTTGCAATTGGAATTTTTTCATCAGGGATCAGGTAAATGGGATGAGATCCCCTACATGCAGGCTTCTATGTCCCTCCATAAAGACGCCTCACAGGAAGGGATCCAGTTGATGGTCCAGAGAGATAAGGATGGACAAAAACTGAAGACACCTGACCCTGGAAATCCTCAATCCACCTCCCCAAGCACAAGCACCTGAACGGGTACCCAACCCACAGCTGCCTGCCCCTCCCCCGCCTCCGCAGGGCTGAAAATCAACCAGAGAAAGAGCCTGTTTTGCAGGAGAGAGAGAGAGAGAGACAAGGCAGAGAGGGAGGAATGGTAGTCCAAACCTTGAGTCTGCCTCTGCCCTCTGTTCCCCTCCTCCCTCCTCCTGTTCCCGCACCACCTGGGCTGCTCGGCAGAGCCCGCTCCTCCAACCATCAGCTCCTTCTCTTCCTACCCTCACTATCGAGGAGCAAAAAAGCACCCCAAGCTGTTGGGCCACCTCCTTAAGAGGTTCAAACTGGAGCACCTCCCAAATCAGCATGAAGGGGCCCGGGGCTCCCCTGGACTTAAACCTCCAACCTCAGATTTCTGCACAGGGGCCCCAGGGAAATTGACAGTGACGAACTTTTAATGGACTCTGGTGCAGTATTAAAGGTAGTTTAAGGTTGTTGGTTTCACTAAAACAGACATGTTTTTGGAGTTGTCAACATCAAATACAATACAGATAATCAACTTTTATTCCTACTTTTCTACATATGGAGTTATTTTCCTTATCATTTCCAATAATCTCAATTACGTGTATCAGAATTTTACCTCTTACAAACCTTAGTCTCTAGTGAAAATACTGTGAGCTATTACACCAGAAGTCTTTAGATTCACAAATCTATGAATACATTTCATAATTTCTAAAAACGTGTCTTTTCATAGTACAACTTCTGATAGAGCATAAAACATGTTTATGAGCAGACCCAAGTATCTTTAGTTTCCCAATAATAAGAAGCCAAAAGCAGACAAACCTATGCTCAGTAATTAATGTTTCAGTATTTATATACTGAAATATAATAGTATTATATAGTAATAATATATAATATACCTGAACTTATTAAATTCATGTTGTACCTGTTGCAACTTGTCAGCTAAAAATGACTTAAAACGGTAGTTAATATTTGTCTGTCTCATTAAGTTTTCATGGGTAGTTGTTAAGAGCAAGTAAATTATGTTTTAAAAAAGGCTTTAGGGGCGCCTGGGTGGCTCAGTTGGTTAAGCGACTGCCTTCAGCTCAGGTCATGATCCTGGAGTCCCGGGATCGAGTCCCGCATCGGGCTCCCTGCTCGGCGGGGAGCCTGCTTCTGCCTCTGACCCTCCCCCCTCTCATGTGCTTTCTCTCTCTCATTCTCTCTTTCTCAAATAAATAAATAAAATCTTTAAAAAAAAAAAAAAAAAAAGGCTTGTACTTTAAAAAAAAAAAAAAAAGGCTTTATAGGGGCGTCTGGGTGGCTCTGTCTGTTAAGTGTCTGCCTTCGGCTCAGATCATGATCCTGGGGTCCTGGGATCAAGTCCCATGGTGGGCTCCCTGCTCAGTGGGGAGTCTGCTTCTCTCTCTCCCTCCGCTGCTCTCTCTCTATTAATAAGATCTTTTTAAAAATAAAATTAAAAAAGGTTTATAGATAAACTTAAAAAAAAGATTTTATTTTTAAGTAATCTCTACCCAAAGTGGGGCTCAAACTCACAACCCTGAGATCAAGAGTCACACACTCCATGACTGAGCCATCCAGGAGCCTCTATAGATCAAGTTTTAAATAGCTTCTAAAATCTTTGGTAATTTAGAACATTAAAGTTTTGCCAGGTTAAATGATAAATTGGGTTGGTTTCATTGGATATCTAAGTCTTTTCCAGATAAAATACTGGTCTTCATTTGGCTATCTTTAATGGGACAGTGACTTTAGAGAAAAAGATTGTTTCAATAACACTGTGGATGTTTGTCAGATTCTGGTTCTGGTTAATTATCTTTGAGTGTTTGCTGTTTGCCTATAAAACTGGGCTGGATCCTGAATCCTTCTGGTTTCCTCGAATGTCTGGCAATGACTCTCCAAACTCAGGTTCCTGATCTTCTCCCACTCTCTTGTCTTGGAGTCCTTGCTCTTTCTCCTGAAGCTTTGCAAACGGAAGCTGGACACCTTGAGATAAACTTCAGAGAAATTGTCTCAGCAGCTCCTATATTGACAGTCTCAGTGCCTGTTGCCCTGCAGGCCCCTCAAAAGGATGGCTGGGGACGTTTGAACTACAAACCAGAAACACCCACCAGATTGTTGCTGAGTTGAAGGAACTCAGGCTGCCTGCCCCCACTCCATCTGAGGGTGCTTCCAGCCTGACATCTAGAAATCTCACTGGCCGCACTCAGGACTCTCACATGGGGTTTGTAATTTGCTCCAACCATTAACCTGTGTTTTTCTTTCTTTCTTTTTATTTTTTTAAAAGATTTTATTTTTTTTTGAGAGAGAGAGAGCACGAGCAGGGGAGGAGCAGAAGGGAGAGAGAGAAGCAGATTCCCCGCTGAGCAGGGAGCCAGTTGGAAGGCGGGTCTCCAGGAGCCCCTAACCTGTGTTTTGCTTACGTTTCCATAGAAACGCCTCTTATTCATCACCTGATTGCCTGCAGAACAAGGCCGAGTCTCTATTACGGCTAACACCACCACTTGCCATACCTATATTATCTCCTCCTGGGAAGTAAGAATACATATAGATAAATCAGGCAGCAAGCCGCTTGGCTACAAGAAGCCCTTAAACGCCACAACCCCCTTTTCCAAGGTGGCTGGGACTGGTTTACTGATCTATTCTCTAGAATACCCACCAGTATCAGATCAATTTCATTTTATTTATTTATTTTTATTTATTTATTTTTTAAAGTAGGCTCCACACCCAGCATGGAGCCCATTTCGAGGCTTGAACTCACGACCCTGAGATCAAGACCTGAGCTGAGATCAAGAGTCGGACGCTTAACGGACTGAGCCACCCAGGCGCCCCTTAGAGGAAATGATAACATTAGGCCTGGCTATACTGTCCCTGTTCCTTGGGATATACTTGGGAATAAGGTTAATGATGTCACGCAGAGCCAACCTATGCAGGAGAATATCCACATTCTCAGATAAGGAATGACCTTTGACATATCTCCTCCATTAGAACAAGGAAGTTATGTCCTGCATTATGTCAAGTCCTTCCATTCCAAAGTCCCTACTTGGCCCTAATTCAGCTTGAAGCAGGTACATCAGCCAAGTCAGGCATACCCATATTTACGGAAACTCTCCTCATGTATATTCATCTGGGCTTCTCTGGCATGTCCACATACCTGGGGAAGGAGATCAACCATTTTAGAGATGGAAATTAGCTTTCTTTTCAACTGCCCCCGACTGACTGCTGGTGGCTGCCTAGAATGCTGTGTTGAGGAGGATTCAGAGGCTGCTAGCCGGCTCTGTGGGGAAGATGCCATATTGATTAGCAATGTCTGCTATGAGTGTAGGGAGAGATTAGTGGTGTCTGCCATGAGCACCGGGCAACCAGGTTCTCCTGCCGCTCCTGGAGGGGGCTGCATGGCCCTAACTGATACCTCTTTCCACCTGCTGGCAACTGGCTAAATTGTAGGAAAAACAGATGGACTGTAGGGCAGTTGGCAAAGTCATGAGGGAGGTGGGAAGCACAAGGCATCAACTAGGAAATATGTTCAAATATACACCTTGTTCCCAGGGCACATTTAGGGCCTGGGGGTGGAGTGGCAGGGAGAGCAGGGGTAGTTTGAAAAGAAAATCTCCCCAGGTGACCCTAATATGCCTATTTCTTCCCCAGGATTGAGAACCACTCTTTTGGGGATAAGGAAAAGATCTTGTCTCTGACTCGGCCATCTGGTGGATGGAACTGATGGTTCCTTCTGGGAAGTAACCGACATTCCTGATAAATTACTTAAACACTTTTGGGATAGATCTAGGTGAGATTAAGAATCCCCGTGGGAAGTTAGTTACCTCCTCAGCTCATGTTCAGGACTGTTGGAGGCCATCTGTGAAGACTCCTTGCAGGATGGAAAGTGCTAGAACATAAAGGAGGCACTGATGATCTGTGGTATTATTAATCAGCGTGTTAAGGACATTGCACCAGGAGTCCAGTGAAACAGATCCTTTCCTGGCATTGCTGCCGTGAGCCGTTGGCCATGTCAGTCCCTTCCCTGGGCTTTGGCTTATTCCTCTGTCAGATAAGTGAGGTGATTGAACTAGGCCCTGGCTCAACTCTTCGTCTCTTTGAGCCTTGACATTGTCTAATTCCACACCAGATGCTGGCCCCCTGTTGGGTGGGCACCAGCAAAAAGTATTCTTCTAAGAGGGTGTGGAGTTGGCCAACATGGCCAGAGACCACATCTGCCTTGTCCACTGCAGTAACCCCAATGGCTGGGACGTAGCTGTAGCTGCAGATGCTCCTTAAACACTGACTCTCCAAATAGCATCATGTATCCTGATGGGAAGGAAGCACTTCCAGAAACCAGAAAGGAAAAACCCAGGCCACCAGTTTTTCCTGGATATTCCTACTTTATTTTTGGCTACATCATCACAGAGAAAGGCAGTGGGCAGTTCTGCATGCACTGGAGGGCGTGTGTGTATTCTAGGCGGGGAGGTGGTTACATCTGTCAGGGGCAGCGTGCGCCCGGACCAGGGACACCGTGAGCTTGCTGCATGCTGATCCCAGCACCAATACCAGTGTCCGGCTTGAGCCGTGCAGCCAGCATGCTTTCTCCTGGGGGCAAACAGTGAGAAGGAGGTGGGCTGAGAGTGGGTGCCACGGGGACTGACGGAGGGGCAGGGCCAGGGGGCAAGATGGCAGCCTGGAAGTCACTGGCCATCTTGGGGAAGGCGACGAGTTTGATGTTTAGAAGATGGTTATTCAAGGCAAGAAATCAGAGTCTTCTCATGAATAGCGCAGGGAGCTAGGGTGGAGGCATTGATTGGGAAAGGTTAAAAGGTGCGTTTGGAGAAAGTGAGAGTTGGAGTGTCCATCTGATGACATCTATAGACGACAGGCTGTCAGACAGAAGGAGAGGATTTTTCACGGGGGAAGACACTGGAAACCGGGAGAAAACAAGCCTTTCTCATGGGGCAATGAAGATGCCCTGACCCCAGCCTCGCATTTATAATGTTTATTCTCATCGCCTTTTCCTCCTTTTTATTATTATTTTTTAATTTTTTAGGAAGAAAGACCGGAGACTCATGATGGAACAACGGTCTTTGGCATCAGGATCTGTCACTCTCTGAAGCTTCACATTCATGATGGTATTTTATTCTCCCGACAAACTTGGTGAAAAGGGTGCAAGAGATAGACTGAGACAGAGCCACGGACAGAGAGATTCAAGGTGGTTCTCAGTGAGAGACAGGACTCCGGGGATCAGAGAAGCAGAGAGTCGAAGAGCGCCAGGGATGGAGCAGTGTGTTTACTTAACTAAGAGCAGACGGAGGGGGAAGGCTGGGGGCTTTGGAGAGCGCCCCCCCCAGACCCGGAGCTCTGGTTTCTAAATGCTTTTTGCACCTATATGGGCAGCCCAGGGGCCGAGGAAGCCCTCTAGGGGCGTCTGTGCAGCTGACGGGAGGCCGCCATGCACCTGGGGGGAGGGGGGCAGTGCCAGTAGCTGGCCCAGCCAGGGACCCCGGGCTCTGCCACCAGGGAGGCGTGGGCGGTGCTGAGAAGAGTGGGCCTAACTGGAACTGGGGAGGGGCCAGTTTGAGTTTGCTGGCCAAGCTGGGGAGGGGGTGAGGCTGGCTTAAGGTATTTTTTTGCTGTTGCTCATTTACCTTCTTAGAAAGAGGGAAAGGAGAAGGGCAGAGAGATGGAGAGGGACAGAGGAGTGTAAGGAGCTGAGAAAGAGTTTGATGGGGTGTAAGGTTAGGGAGAGGGAGAGGGAAGGACGGGGGGATGGGGGGGCGCTAGAGAAAGGGTGTTGGGTTTTGCTAGGAAGCAAACAGATGGCATCCTGAAAGAGGGGGCTGCCAAGACCCTTTATATGTTCCATGTGTCTATTTCTGGACGCATTTGGGGCCAGGAGGGTGCGTTCCTAGTCACCGGGGAGTTTAAACATGGTGGTCTGTTTTCCTGGCAATCAGGGGGTATGGTGTGGAGGGGCAGTGGGGGCCTGGATGCTCTATTTCTGCCCCAGTGCTGGTCCTTACAGCCTTGTTCCGGTCAGCTGACAGCTAAGGGTATACACAGACATAACACTGGAAACCAAGGGTGTGTGTGTGTGTGTGTGTGTGTGTGTTCAAGGCCAGGAGGGTCTAAAAACAGTCCTAAATGATGAAGAACTTTTGCAGTTTTCCCAGACAGACCGCTTGTTAAATTCTAGCCTCCTTGTAAAAATCTCTGCATCCCTCTCCCTCCCGCTCCATCCTAGAGGGACCAGAGAGGGGCTGCAGTCAGGGCCTGCACCACAGCATCACAGATGGAGGAGAAAGGTCTTCGGCAGCAGTGCCCAAGGTCAGGGGGCACCTCAAAGGCAGGCGCAAGGAGGGAGAGGCTGGGGGAGGCAGAGAGAAGAGAAACCGGAGTGCGAAGGGCAGCTGGGTCAGGCTGGCGGGTGACCTGGCATGGGGTAGGCCATGGAGCCGGGACCTGGGGGCCCACCCTAATCGCTTGACACGTGGTTCTCGTTCTGTAGCTGGTGCCAGCGCTCAATCTTCTTGTCCTTGTTTTTCAGACATTCGTACCAGTGTTTTAAGCGTTCTCCCTTGGCTGAGATCCCCAGCTGGCAGCCTCCTGGAAGACAAGATGGGGAGACAGAGGGAGGTGGTCAGAGTGGAGGGACGCACGGGACTCTCATTCTGGATCCAAATGTTTAGTTGGGGAAAAACTGCCACCAAGCAGGGACCCCTCCAGCAACCTGGGGTCCTTCTTTATGGAGGGCTGTTGTTATGATGTTGTTATTACTCCTGGCCTTCTCTGTCTGCACACTAGCTACTCAAGAACCTGCCATGGCTCCCTATTGGAGCATTAAGTCGTAGCTTCACGGTCTCCTTTTTTTTTTTTTTTAAAGATTTTTTATTTATTTATTTGAGACAGAGAGAATGAGAGACAGAGAGCATGAGAGGGAGGAGGGTCAGAGGGAGAAGCAGACTCGCTGCCGAGCAGGGAGCCCGATGCGGGACTCGATCCTGGGACTCCAGGATCATGACCTGAGCCGAAGGCAGTCGCTTAACCAACTGAGCCACCCAGGCGCCCTCGGTCTCCTTTTTTTAAGACCTTCTGTAAGTCACCACCGCACTCACAGAAACTTGTCTCCCACTACTTCTGGGTACCCCCTGTCTATTTCCAAAGAGTCAGCTTGGCCACCCTGTCCAGTCCTGCCTCCACACCTTTGCTTACGCTGTGTCCCTTGCCTGGAGTGCCCTCCCTGCTCTATCTTTAATGACTGATCTTCCTCATCATTTGAGAGGAGCTGGGAAAACTAGAATCTTCTTCCAGGACTCGCAAATTAATTAAGGGGACTTCCTTTGCACCCTACTTTCTGAGGCCACAGACACCACTCTCCTCTGTGATTTGATTATCCACTGGAGGTGATCTGTTCAGCAAATAACCAATCATGACCCAATCACCCAGCTTTGTAAGCCCTTTCCTATAAAAGCATCCCCAAATTGGACCCAGATCAGTACTCCAGGTCCTGACATGGCGTTTGGACAATGCGGCCACCAAAAGACACGGAGTGCCCTGAACCCTCCAAGAGAAGCTTGGATCCTTAAGGCTCTTCTCTCCTGGGAGGATGGGCTTTTCTCTGGGAGCCAGGAGCACTCACCGATATAATCGTTGGACTTGCCGATGTCATAGTCCCAGACCGAGATGTCCAGGGACTTCTTTGCCAGGTCACCATGTTTGATGTCATAGAAAAACTCCTGGATGCAGCAGAGAAAGACAGGTGATTGGGAGGGTCCTGAGCCTTCAGCATCAGAAGCTAAGAGGCTGAGCCGGACCGAGGGGAGGCCCTTGAACTGGGCATCTGGGAGCAAGGGGGCCCTCCTGCTGGAGCTTTTACCCCAGGACTGACAATCCCCTTTCAACAAACACTCTGTATAACAAAGTCTCTCAAGCCCTGTAATTCACGTTTCAGTGACTCTCTAAAATCAGGAAGGCTGATGGGGTTTTTCTAAGACAGCTGCTCCTGGTCAGGTTTCCTTGAAGGCAAATGGCTGTGAATTCAGTCCTTCCATTCTGGTAGCTTCTGAAGTGGGTTTTCCTCTCTCCATCATTTAGAGATTAAGGGTAGTTGAGGGCACGGAGACTGACATGAAGGATAGGTGCTTAGGTTTCCAGACAATCTGACTTTTTACATAACTTTTCTGCCTAACTGTAAAATTCATTCATGTTCATTGTTAAAACAAACGAGGAAGCTAAAATAAAATCAAATAAAACCCAACCCCCAAAGCCTGTCATCTATCTAACTATACCCCAGAATAGCCACTGTCAACATTCCCCATGTGTGACCACATTAATATATGTTTTTAAAAGTTAATATGAATATTAATTTGAATATTATATTAAACATCTGAATATTATATAAAGTATAATATGAATATGCTGCATTGTGAAAGCCTTCTTTTCCCATTTTAGAACATATGGTAAAAAACCAACTTAGTGTGTTAGCATTTTAAATATCTTTCCGGTTTCATTTAATGCCTGTGTGGCTGTCCCTTAACCTAATGCCCAACAATTGAGTATTTAGGTTGTTTCCAACCTTCCACTACCATTAATGATATGATAAAAGGCACCCTTGTAACTCAGTCATTGTGTAAATCCATGATAATTTATTTAGGATAAATTCTGAGACATGTATCTCTGAGTTGGTAAAGTTTTTTGTTTTTGTTTTTAAGATTTTATTTTATTTATTTGACAGAGAGAGACACAGCGAGAGAGGGAACACAAGAAGGGGGAGCGGGAGAGGGAGAAGCAGGCTTCCCACCGAGCAGGGAGCCCGATGTGGGGCTCAATCCCAGGACCCTGGGATCACGACCTGAGCTGAAGGCAGACGCTTAATGATTGAGCCACGGGGGGCGCCCCTGAGTTTGTAAAGTTTTAAGACAGAGAGCAGTGGATGTACACCATGATGCCATTTGTGACCAGTAAGAAAGCTGGCTAATACATACTTGTCTTGTATATTTATAAATCCTGGAAGTGGATAATATAGTTGCTTCAGAAGAAGAGAAGTAGGTGATAGAGGCTGGGAAAGGAGGAGGATTTTTGACTGGATACCCTTTGGTACTTTTGGAATTTTCAGATATGTGACTATATTACCTGTTCCTCAAATAAATGGCATTTAAATTTTAAGGTTAAGGCTTTTGGAGCAGTTTGACAAACATCCCTTAGGAAGTTGGACCAGTTTGTTCTCTTACCCATGGTGTGTACATTTCCCCACAGGCTCACCAACACCGGGTACCAACATTTTACAATATTTTTGTGCCAGTTTGTGATGAGATCCGGTGTCTGGCCTTGTTTCGTATCTTCTCTATTGCTAATGAGGCTTACTGCTATTTGGATTTCTTCTTCAGTTGGCTCCTTACTCAAAATTCAGGAGTCCGAGTTGGGACATTAGGGCTACAGCTGAAGAAGGGACCCGGGAATAGGATGCACTGAACTACTGGCCAGTGATGCTCTGAGCTCTGTTTACAAAGAACTTTCACCACGCATGCTCATACGGGCACATGCATTTCAAAAGCAAAACAACACAAAGCACAGTGTATTGTAGTTTTCTTGGCCCACTTTCCAACATTTGGTAAAAACCAGTGCTAGCTGATTCTGATCTGACATCAGATCACTACATTCAATGGATATTTCTGGACCCCTAGTATCTGACAGCTTGTCAACAAATAACTGAAATCCAGGGGGACAGCATGAGATGCAAGGACACGTAAAGCCTGCAGGGGTTATAACACAATGACCCTTGAGGGATGACTAGGAGTCTGCCAGAGAGGAAGAGAGAGAGAGATGGAGGTCCAGGAAAAGGGAGCAGCAAGCGCAAAGGCTAAGAGATGTACCAAGGACCCGTGTGAAGTTAGGGTGACTTGAGGAGGGGAGTGCGAGATGGGGCAGGGGTGGGACATGAGTTTGAAAGGGCTTGACTGTCACACTAAGAAGTTATGGAACCATTCCTGGGTTAAGCAACGGGGATGAAAACTTCAGATATGTTCTTTAGAAAGCTCATGCTTATGTGAGGATGGGCCAAATACAAGGAAGTGAGTCAGGAAGTCTACTGCAATAGTCTAGACATGAAATGCTCAAGTAACAGTGAGACAACAGGAAGGGGCACATTCAATGGGTATGTAGATAGTGGACTTGATGCCCAGGACAGACATGGGGAGTGAGGGAGAGAGAGAGGGCAGTACCAACTGGGTGACTGCTAAAAGGCACCACTACCCCTATTTATTTCTTCAAATTTCAGGACCACAGACTACTAGACATTGGAAATGATTTCATTCAATCTGTCTCCAAATGCAGCTTCTTCCTATGACACTGCTCATCTAGAGGCTTTTGTCTTGGGCTCGATTCCCTCTGGTGACAAGGAACTCATTACCTATCCTTTAGATAATTCAAGTGGATCTATGAGAGAAAACTTTTTTTTAAAAAAAGATTTTATTTATTCATTTTATTTTTTTTTATTTTTTTTTTAAAGATTTTATTTATTTATTTGAGAGAGAGAGAATGAGAGACAGAGAGCATGAGAGGGAGGAGGGTCAGAGGGAGAAGCAGACTCCCTGCCGAGCAGAGAGCCTGATGCGGGACTCGATCCAGGGACTCCAGGATCATGACCTGAGCTGAAGGCAGTCGCTCAACCAACTGAGCCACTCAGGCGCCCTATTTATTCATTTTAGAGAGAGAGAGAGAGCATGACCAGGGAGCGACAGAGTGGGGAGGGAGAGGGAGAAAGAATCTGAAGCAGACTCCGCACTGAGCAGGGAGCTGACGTGGGGCTCGATCCCACAACCGCGAGATCATGACCTGAGCTGAAGCTAAGAGTCAGACGCTCAACTGACTATGCCACCCAGGAGCCCCAAGAGAAAACTTTTTTGATGTGCTTTGTAACATTCTAGTAGGGAGCTTGTTTCTCTCTCACACTCAGGAAATATCTCAGAGCATGACAAAAGTGGGACAGCCTTACCTCATTAAACTCAGGATTCAAGGTTTTCTTCTTTATTTGAGTCTTGTGTTTGGCTTTCTTTCCCATGTCTGGTTTCAGCCAGCTGAGAGGAGACAGAGATGCTATTGTGGAGGAAGTTTAATGAATAAGATCAGCCTCTTGACCCCAAAGCCTCCCTCCCATGTCAGGAGAATAATTGAACAAATCAGAAAGTGAATCAACATTAACAATGTGCATGAGAGCAGCTACAAGGCACTGTTCTAAGCACGTGCAGGGTATTTCATTCTCAACAAACCCTCGGTGGTAGAGCTACAACCACCCATTTCACATGCAAGGAAACTGAGCACCCAGAGAAGTCGAGACATGTGCCTCAGATCACACAGCTGGGGACTCAACCTAGTGGCTGCCTCTGGAGTCTGTGCTCTTAGCTAGTACTCGGCCCCAGTGGATCACATTGAAAGCCTGGAGAGCAGTGCCTAGAGTGCACGGTTACCCTTTAGGTTGCCCCCAAGTCCTGGGGAGGCGGGGATTGTATAGACAGAAAGGAGAAGATGCAAATCTGATGACAATCAATCCTCCTCAAAACTGTTCAGTGGCTCCCCTTTGATCTCAGGGTAAAGTTCAAAATCCTTGATGTGGCTTTTAAGGCTCCATATGATCGGGTCCTTGCTCCAGCCCAGCATGCTCTTGTGTTATGCTCTTCATCCGACTCCCCATTCACTCTCCTTTCCACCCCAGGGCCTTTGCACATACAGCTCTTCCCCAGTGTAGGCACAATACCTGGCACATAGTAGGTGCTCGATCAATATTTTCTGGGCAAATAAATAAAATGGGCCAGAAATGCCAAAGAGTTGGGACATTTGGATTCTCATTAAAGCTGTCACTAGCTGTGCAACTTTGAACCTAAGTGTAGCTTCGGCGTGCCTCAGTTTCCCAATCTGTAAAGGGGGCACTTTTTTCCCTCACTTATAGAACTGCTTTTGAGGATAATTTATTTTTATTGAAGCAGAGTGGACATGCAGTGTTACATTAGCTTCAGGTGTACAACCCAGTGACTTGACAAGTCGATACTTAAGCTGTGCTCACCACAAGGGTAGTCACCATCTGTCACCATGCAACATTATTGCAATGCCATTGATGATGTTCCCTCTGCTGTGCCTTTATCCCTGTGACTCATTCATTCCATGACTGGAAGCCTGTACCTCCCACTGCCCTTGAGGATAATTTTATTATTTTATTTTTATTTATTTATTTATTTGAGAGAGAGAGAGAGCACACAAGCAGGGGGAGCAGCAGAGGGAGAGGGAGAAGCAGGCTCCCTGATGAACAGGGACCCCCCATCACCACCACCACGCCCCCATGTGGGGCTCGATCCCAGGATGCTGGGATCATGACCTGAGCTGAAGGCGGACACTAAACCCACTGAGCCACCCAGGCGCCCCTTGAGGACAATTTTAAAGAAGGGACACAAAGGGGGGACTGAACGGTATGAAGTGCTGAGCAAAGACAAAGGGCAATTCTGATTTTAAAAATCTTAATTCGATCTTCGACTGATTAATGGCCTCCTGTTAGCTTTTCCACACCGGCCACCGGGGCAGCCGTTTTCCCGGTGACCACAGCAACGCTCCTTCTTCTGCAGGGATTGGGTGGATGGGAGAAGGGGTGGTAGGGAGAATTATTTAAGAAAAACAGTTTGCCTGTGGCTGGGATGTAACAGAGTGCAGGATAGCAGCCCATGAGCTAATTTTCTTTATTGGACCATATGAGAAAACAAAACCCAGTTACTCCTAGAAATCAAATTCATCCCTGACTCATGTGTTCTTTTGTTCACTAAATCCTCATTCAAAGAAAATCCGAAGCAAAGTCCGCCCTGGCCTGATTTTGTAGCCATGACCTTAAGGGGAGCACTGCTTTCTATTACGAGAGGGAGTCGGTGGGAGGGAATGTCTCCCGGGCTGGAGGGAACATCAATAAACACTCTTTGCCATGAGTAGGAACGGCAGGGGTAGTGATTTAGAACCGTAATGGCAGATGCTTACTGAGCACTTACTATGTACCAGACCCTATGACAATGCTTCTCTCAGATCTCCAGCTGCAGGGGGCAAAATGGACTGACAAGGTGCTGGGCTCTGAATTCACCACTAAGTTCTCGCTGTGGCTGCGCTGGCCCTGGGTTCCCAGCCAGCACCTGGGCCAGCGAGGGCAGGAGGCAGCCCCGGTGGGAGATGCAGGCTTTGCGCTCAAGGATTCCCCATCACCTGCGCTGAAACTTCCTCAGAACTGTACTGCAATCTAAGACGCTTCCTGCCCAACCGTCCTCCCGGGCCCCTCCTCCTCCCCACCTGCTTTCCCTATGGTCCTCCTCTGGCTCCCTCTCAGTTTTTCTTCACAGGCATTTTCCCCCAATAAATCTCTTGCACATCTCATTTAGCCTTGGAGTCTGCTTCCTGGAGGGTAGAACCTAATGCCCGATAGCACTCTTCCCATTTTACAGATGAGGATATCGAGGCCCAGAGACGTGAAGGCACTAGCCAAAGGTCACACGGCTAGAGAATACTGAAGACTATTGGCTCTTAAGATTCAAACCCAGGCAGTCTGGATCCAGAGCTCAAGCTTTCAATCATATCCATAGAAACACACGTTTAGCTGCCGCAAGGCAATGCAGAATTCTCTTGAAGAGCAGGACAAATATTACTGTACCAGGCACATTTCTAATTGCTTTCTATATGATATCTTATTTGAGCCTTAAGCCTTGTGCCCATTCTTGGACATAAGTGGAGCCACTGTCTCTGTTATACCAGTGAAGAATCCAAGGCTCAGAGAGGTTAGGATAACTTGTTTATAGTTATACAGCTGCAGGGGGGCAGAGATGGGAGTGGGACCCACACCTGATTCAGTGATGGCCATGAGAATGTGCCAGGCGGACCTCCAGCTACAGCATCACTGACCGAGGCCCCAGCTGCTGCCCCTGGAAACCCAGCCATGCTCTTGCCACGGCCCTGTTTCTGGCTGATGACTGAAGGTGGCAGGAATATTAGGGTAGTCCTGCTCCTAGGAGCCCTGGGACTCGTCTGATGGCTGGTTTTGGCCTTGAGGACTCTCACGGCCTTGCTGAACTTGCATCCAGGCTGCATCCACTGGCCCCCGTCTCTCCCCTCTGCTCACGTGAGTGAGACTCGTATGGCCGTCTAGCAGGTCTCCCGTCTCCCTCACTCAGGCATTTCCACTAGTGAAGCCCTGGTCTGCTGAGTCCCATCTTGGCAGCCTTCCAGAGGCTCTGGACTAACACAGATAACCCGACTCTCTGCCTCCCCACGGTGGAGATTCTGGGAATAACCCAAAGTCTAAGGTCTTCTCTTTGAGCATTTCCAGATTGCACTGGAAAAAGCTGGATTGCTTCTTCGGGCGCTCTGGACTGCGGGAGGGACCTGTTGCTGATTCCAGGGGGCTGCAAATGGGGTCACTGTAACCTTGCCGACTGCCTTTCTCCCATCGGAGGGGACAGAGCCACGAAGCTCCTCATATGGGCGAGCGACACACGAGTCTGACTGTCTGAGACTCCAGACTCATGCTCTAGCCAGTTCTGGGCATTGTCTAGCTGTGTGACCTTGGGCAGGCTCATTTCCCTCTCTGGGACTCAATGTGCAATGATCTTGGGGAAGCTCTCTGGTTCTCCCTTTGCGAGGATCTAGGACCCCCTTTGGGGTCCATTCACAGTCCCAATGACTCACAGCTTGACGAATGGATCTGAGTAGCCGTTGGCGTCCATGGCGGCCAGGTGCACGCAGCGTATGATGCCCACGATAAGGCCTCCCTGCTGTGTGCTGTACATGAGGGACACCAAGATCTTGCCACGTTCCTCTATGTCACCAATACGTTCCACCTGCTGCAGTAGCAGAAAAGAAAAGTAGGAGAAATGGGCCTAGGAAGGGGAGGGGGTCAGGCAACTGGACGGATGGCTAGTATTAGGGAGGAGCCTGTGGAAAGGAAGAGGAGCTGCCCCCCCCCCCAAGGACAGCAGATGTCCCCAGTCCCCAGTCTCCAGGGACCAGCAAGTGGTGACAGCCACACAGGTGAAAGTCTAAGGCACATGGGGGTGGGGGACTTTACTCTGACTTGGACATGGACAGAGCCCTGAGTGATCACAGGTGGGGCTGGACCCTGCTTCCACTCTGACTCTGAGCTCAGATTTGCCGGAGTCAACCAGGCTTCTCACAATTACAGTCCCTGGGGTCGCCTGAGGACCTGGGCAAAGAGCGCAGATGTGTAACCCAACCCAGCCTCTGCATCACCACGGAGGGAGGGAGAGTGGCATCACTCTGGTCCTGCAGGACTGCCAGCAGAGCTTAGCCAACGAAGCAGGGGAACTCAAGGGTGCGTCCTGGGTGTGAGAGGGTGGCCCCCCCAAGGTGGGGGCTCCAGGTGGGAGGAGCATCCACTTGGTCTCGTGTTCTAATGCCTTGGGCAAGGGTACCTCTCTCATGGTAAACTGACGGGCAAGTGGTTTTAGGAGAAAGAATAAGGAAGGGGCCAGGAGGGAGAGCAAAGGGAAGTGGTGGACCCCAACTATGGCTGCAATATCCGCTCAGTGCTCACCTCCTCCTCATAAAGGGCCATGCCTCGGGCTGACCCAGTGGTCCCGGCACGCTTCATCTAAGAGGAAGGAAACAGAAAGGAAAGAACATGAGTCTATGAGGCTCATCTCCCTACATAAGAAGGACCAGAAAACCTCACCCTTCCATTAGCATCCAGAGCCATGAGGGTGGGTTCTCCAAGCTTCTGTGGCCTTCCAGCTTTTCCCCTTTTAGATAAAAATTTATGTAATGTTAACCATTGGACAGACCATGTTAATGCACACCAGCCTATGATGTAGGGTGTATTACTAACCCATTTTACAGATGAGAACACTGAGGACCAGAGTGGTTAAGCCACTTGCCCAAGGTCGCACAGCCAACAAGTGGCAGAGCCCACCATACACAAAACAGATAAGATTTCATCTGCTCTGGTAGAAGTGGCACAGGGGTCTTGGGGTCTGAGCCCCCAGGTACTTTTTGCCCTGTGGCTCCTAAGGTTCTTCTGTGGGATTCTAGTGCTCTGGGCAACACTATATGAAAACCACTGGCTAAGTCCAACCTCCCCACTTTAGGGATGAGGAAAACTGAGATCCAGAGGGGAGAGGAAGCACTTACGAGGACCCTGCCCTTGGTGGGGCACGTGGGGGTAGTTGGTGGTGGGAAGGTTAAGGGTGCACAGCGTGCAACCGCCACGCTCTGACCTGAAATCTCCCTCCTGCCTCTACTGTCGAGCACCCTGCAGATCTATCATCCCCTTTGCAGGCCCAGAGGAAGACCCCAGCCCCCAAACTCTTCTCCCCCATTGCATCCTTGGGGCTAAGGCACTCACCGGGATCACCCGCTCCAGACAGATATTGAAGTTCTTTTTCTGGTTGGGCTTCAGTTTCTTGAGTGAAAATCTGGTCTCACCGATGAACTCGTTATGGCCAAATTTGTCCTCATCACAGACAGAGATCCTGCGATCAACGTAAGGGGTGGGGAGAGAACGAAGAGCCTATATTGAGCAAGTATCATGTACCAAGAGCTATGACTGATACTGTCAGGGAATGTGCAACGTGCATAGGAATATTTCAATTTCCTATTTATTGAGCACTAGGCCAGCTACTTTATGTTCCTTCTTTACTGCAGTGTAACTTACAAGCAGTGATGTGCCCACATCTCAAATTTACAGCCTGCTGAATTTTTGCATATGCATACATCGATGCAACCACCACCCAGATCAAGATATAGAACATTCTGGCTCCTGGAAGACCTCCATGGTCCCTCCTAGTCATGACCCCCCTTAATGATAACCACTCTCTTGGCCTCTGGCAAGATTCATATTGTCTTGTTTTGGACCCTCACATAAGTAAAATCAGATGGCATGTCTTCTTTTATGCTTGGCTTCTTTTGCTCAGCATTATGTTGGTGAGCTTCATCTGTGTCTTTAGCAATGTGTCCTTTTCACTGCTGTATAGTATTCCATTGTGCAACCATACCGTAATATTTCTGCTACAGATGGACATTCGGTTTCGACCAATTTCTTGCTTTGAGCTATTATGAACAAAGCTGCCCAGAACATTCCTGTCTGAGTCTTCTTGCATGCACGTGGATCTATTTCTACTGTATATTTTGCTAGAGGTGGAAATGCTGAGTCATGGGCTACACCTAAGTTTAGCTTCAGTAGAAACTTCTAGTTTCCCAGACTGGTTCCACCCATTCTGCCCCCACCAGCAAGCCACACTGGTTCTGGTTGTTCTTCATTTTTGCTAACTTTGATTTTGTCAGTCTTTAATTTTAGTCTTTCTGAGGGAGCAATAGTATCTCATTGTAGTTTTAATTTTTAGTTCCCCGATGATAAAGGAATACTTTTATGGCCATTTGAGCATCACCTTTTGCAAAGTTAGGCCAGGAACTTAGTTAACCTCTCCTCCTTTAATTTGTTCTCCCAGCAAACATCTGAGTTTCTCACTTTAGAGTGGAGACTGGGGCCCAGAGAGGTGCAATAATTTTTCCCTGGTAAGAGGCAGAACTGGGATTTGAATCCAGGTCTCTGTGAATCCTCAAACACTATATTGTCCTTTGTTATCTACTCTGCACAGCAGTGAGTAGAAAGAGGTACACACAGAAAGGGCAGGTCATGGAAAGGTCCCTCAGGAGGCCAGAAGGGCCAGTCACGGCATGATCATTCATCCTGACATATACCAAAGGGGAGGAAGGATGTGTCCCCCTAAGGCATGGGAGGCAGTCTGGGGGCCAGGCAGGGACCAACAGCATCTTCCCCCTTGGCCATCAACATTTGTTGAACAATGTTCAAAGCGCTGGAGGGCCAGAGCATCCTCATGGCTGAGTCCCACAATGTTCAGGACTGGGAAAAGAAGTTGTCTCTACTTGGCTGGTGAGCATGTAACCAACCCCGTCCCTCTGCAGGGCCATGTGTCTCCAAAGACTTAATAATCATCATTTCTGACCTAATAATGCCAGTTCTAGGAATTTATCTCAAAGACATACAAAGATGTTTATCACCGTATTGTTCCTAGTTGTGAAAAAGCAGAAGTAACGTATGTATTCTATAATGGGGGATTACTGAAGAAAAATGAGATAACCATAAGAATATAACTGTATACGTGGAAAACAGTGTTGTAATGAGTCATCAGGGAAAGGCAGAACCATAATGCAACACTACTACACACCCACCAGAATGACCAGAATGACCAAGTATTGATGAGGCTGGAGGAACAGGGACTCTCGTACATTGCTGGTAGGAGTGTCATTTGGTACAATCGCTATGGAAAATTGTCAGTTTCTACTAAAGCTGAGCGTATACTACACTATGATTCAGCCATTACACTCCTAGAAGAAAAGCATGCATAATACAATGTCACTAGAATGTTCCTAGCAGTACTATTATAATAGTCCCCAAATGAAAACCAACCAACTGTCCCTTAACAGTTGAATGGATAAATAAAACTGTGGTATAGTCACACAATGGGAGAGTAAAGAGCGACAAGATGGGGCGTCTGGGTGGCTGAGCATCAGACTCTTGATTTTGGCTCAGGTCATGATCTTGGGGTCATGGGATCGAGCCCCACATCGGGCTCTGTGCTCAGCGGGGAGTTTGCTTGGGATTCTCTCTCTCCCTCATCCTCTGCCTCTTGCTCTCTTTCTCTCTCTCTCTCTCTCTAAAATAAATGAATAAATCTTAAAAAAAAATAAAGAGTGACAAGAATCCATAATCTACAACTATACAGAACAACTTGGGCAAGTATCACAAATACAACATTAAGTGCAAAGACAGAAAAGAGTCATGCTGTACCATTCCGTTTACGTAAAGTACAAAACCAGACTGAGTTCATTGTCCTTTAGAAGTTAGAGTAGTGAATACCCTGAGGGGAGGGTCCTCACAACAGGGACAGTACCGGGGGAAGGGTGTCTGTGGTCTGGGAATGTTCTGTTCTCGGACCGCAGTGTGTTCACTTTGTAAAAACTCATCAGTCTGTGCAGTTTTTAGGTGTGCATTTTTCTAAATGGCTGTTACCCTGCAATAAAAATGTTTACTTAAAATAATAGTGTAGCTGGCAGGAATATACGTGGAACGCCAATTTGAAAAGCGGTTTGTATGACTTGTAAAAAAACAAAAAACAAAACATCTACTATGATCCAATAAACGCTCCCCTTTGGCTTCTACCCTAAGGAAACACTAGTATGTACACAAGGAAGAGTAAAGGATGCTCGTTGCAACTTTGTAAAAGAGAGAAGCTGGAAACAACCTAAACGTCCTTCTCCTGGATGCTGGCTGAATACACTGATAAACATTTACATAAAATTTAAAACAGACCTGGGCATCTGGGTGACTCAGTCGGTTAAAGTGTCTGACTCTTGATTTCGGGTCAGATTGAGCCCCGTGTCAGGCTTTGCACTCAGTGGGGCATCTGCTTGAGATTCTCCCTCTCCCTCTTCCTCTGCCCCTCCTTGCTGCTCACGCTCATGCTCTCTCTCTCTCTCAAATAAATAAATCTTTAAAAAGATTTAAAAACATGCCAGACAATACCATCATTGTTTATAGATACATAATCATGTAGCTGAAGTATAAAACATGCTTGGGAATGACACCCATAAAATTCAGTGTGGCGTTTAGCCCTGAGGGGGAAAGAAGAGAAGGAGGGGATGGGGGTGTACGAGAGGAGCCTCAATCTGCATCTGCAATGCTTTCTTTCTTGAACATAATAACAATTTAAAAAGCTGAAGCACATACAGCAAAATATTAAGATTTTTCTAAAAGACTGAGGGTTGACTTTATGGATGTTTGTCTTATTATGTTTACACTTTTCTGTACCTTTGTAATATTTAATTATAAAACATTTTTAAAAATTTGATATAAACCATTCTGTGTAATACTCTGAAGCAGTCAAATATTAGGCAGATCTAAATGTCTTCCCATGGCTCTAACTCCAAAATATAGTGTTAAGAAAAAAGGCAAGTTGCACATCTATACAGCATGATACCCTCTATGTTGTAAACAGTAGTAGGAATATACATACACTCACAGAGGGAGGAAGCAGACCCAGGCTGGTGGAGGGGACTAACATTTATTTTTTTTTTTATTTTAAAAGAGATTTTATTTATTTATTTGAGAGAGAGCAGGAGAGAGAGATCAGGAGAGAGAGTGAGCAGGGGGGAGAGGCAGAGGGAGAGGGAGAAGCAGACTCCCCGCTGAGCAGGGAGCCTGACTCAGGGCTCGATCCCAGGACCCTGGGATCCTGACTGAGCCGAAGGCAGATGCTTAATGGACTGAGTCACCCAAGCGCCCTGGGGACTAACATTTAAAAGGAGCTTTGCCTGCTCTATAAGTTTTTTTTTTTTTTTAAATAAGAAAAGTGTATTTACTTATTACTTACATAATTTAAAATGCAGTTTAACAAAACACTGTAGAAGAATATGAAATGGCATCAATACATTGTTAAATAAGAGGCTAATTAATTATTAGAATGGTCTGTTTTTAGAGTACTTAATTTTATAAGAAATGTTTGCACACATACGTAAATACACACGCACAAATACATACACACACAACCTGAACATCCAGACACCAAAACAAGAGTTTTGTTTGCCTGTATTTTCAAAAGTTTCTACCAGAAACATATGCTGTTTTTGTAGAAGTAAAAAAGAAAGAAAAAAACAATGCAGCTATGTTTTCAAGAGTGGCCTCTGGTAGCATGCGTCTCAATCTGCCCGGCCTCAGCCCCCTCTCTGCCCACCTGCCCGGCAGGTACCTGAGGGTCTTCCTCTGCATGTCCTCGTCTGTGATGCCATGATAGACAAGGGTCTCATTCCAGACGGGGTTCCGGGTGTTCCGCAGAGTTTTTGTACGAAGCTTGTTGGACTAGAGCCCAGAGAGATGGACAGACACCTGCCTTGGTGGGAAGCCAGCCCCGCAGCCCCATCCTTTGGGTTGACATGGGGTGTGTGGGTGGGAGTGGGTGGGTGATGTAGGAGTCCACTCCCCTAACAAGCGTCCGGGGGCTCAGTTGCTCCCAAAATGCATGCTCTCAGTGAGTGGAGGGCATCCCCAATGCTGGCTACAGCCATCATCAATGCTGGACACTGGGCCACCCACCCTCCATGTGCTGGGCCCTCTCTTTGAACTTTCCATTAAGATTAGACAGCATGAGAAAAAAATATGATTTATGGCCAAAAAGGCAGAAATAAAGAGTCACCCACTTATAAGCAGTGAAAAAACAATTTCTGGGGGTACTGAAATGGTTTCTTCTGTCTCCCCAAATAGCATTCTCCATGCCTGAAAGTCCTTAGGGGACAAGGTTTTCATTTTACTCTAAGAAAGACAGCGAAACATGCACTATATCCACAAGAGGTGGCCTGGTAGCAAATCTAATTCATACTAACATGTAAATGACTCACTGGACGCTTTGGCAAAGCCAGTTTGGATTCAGGCGTGAGCAAAGAAGAGAGTCTCGAGGAGAAAGAAGCAAATGTCACTGGGGGGTTAGAATGAGTAGTGGCCAAACACTTCACAGTTTGGCCATGGTCAGGTGAGGGACTCTCCTTTCTTGATCCAAAGAAAGAAAGAGTGAGAGACAGTGTGTATGTGAATACACACATGTGTGTCCTCTTTGTGTTATGGGGCATATTTCATACTTGCAGAGATTTTTAACAGCCATTTTCCCAAGATCATGGAACCAAGTGTACAGTCATTCTTGTTTCCCACCCCCACCCCCAGCCACCCCCCAAGCTTGGCCCATGTGGAAGCAGAAGCAAGGCTCGGGAAGCAGACTTCCTGGGTTCAAACAGCTCCACTGCTCCCCAGCTGTGTGATTTGGAGAAAGTTACTCAACCTCTCTGAGCCCCAGTGTGCCATGCATGTCAAATTTAACACAACAAAGCAGAAAATAAACTCTAAGAAAGCACCCTTTCATGTCTAGCCATGTGCTCTGAGTGGGTCCATCCAAAGAGAGGAGAATTAACTCCATTGTCCTTCCCCAGAGCAAGGTAGTGATAAGCAGGTGAGTGAGCTGGAAGGGGAGAGAAAGGCGGGTGGGGCAGTAAGTAGTGCATTTTCACTCAGTAACAAGCATTTTCTCAAGTGCTTAGCACCACAGCCTAGAGAGAGGAGAAGCGTTTGGTTGGGACATAAAGTGAGTGGGGGAGGTGAGCCATGGTCAGCACTGGGGACGCACTGAAGGTATCTGAGCAGGTGGATGGCATAACTGGGGCTTCTGCTTCTCTCCTGGCCTTCGGCAGCTCCCTGGAGGCCACGTTTCTGGGTTGGAGAAATGGGCAGAGTGCCTGCCCCTCAAGGAAGAGTAACTCCTGGTCTACCCCTCACCCCTTGCAAGGACTTTGCCACTCAGGGAGGAGGGGAGTTTGGGGCCAGATAGGGGGCCTATTTCAGGCTCTGAGCTGGGAACCTTGGGTGCCTGCCAGGGCCCATGTGCCCAGCCTGCCGAGAGGCCCAGGCCATATGGTACCTTGCTGGCTCCCGGCAGGAGATGCAGCTTAACGTAGGGATCAGCCAAGCCGTTGGAATCCATGGGCTTCAGTCCCTGCAAGAGAAAAGGCAACAGCATGAGGGCCTTGGGAGGGCCTGGCGCTCAACTGTCACAGGCAATGGGCACAGCCCCTGGCATCTGTCCTGCCCATCGGTCCACCCATGTGCTTCCTCTTCCAAAGACAGAAGGGAAATGAAATATCTTTGGAAAGAATGCTAGAATCAGGCAAACTGGGTTTAGAGCCTGGCCATGTTACTTCCCAGCTGTGTGACTTTAGGCAAGTTCCTTCACCTCTCTGAGCCTCATTTTCCTCATCTGTCAAATGGGATAATGGTATCTGCTTCACGGAGTGGTAAGACTTAAACATAGTTATACCTGTGAAGTGCTGGGCACAGAGCCTGGCACACAGTGATTTGCTGCATCGACGCTGGACTGTTACTCCTAGCATGGAAGGAAATGCTCCAGAACAAGGATGAGAGAGAAGGAGAAGCTGGGGAAAGAGGGCCTGAGTTCTGCCCCTGGCCTCTGCACTCATTTCCAAGACCTCAGTTTTTCCATCCATAAAATGGGCATCACAATGTCTGTCCGGCCCCCCTCCCTGGGCTTGAACGAGGCTCAAGTGAGACACCGTGGGGGAAGGGAGTTCGTCTGGGGTAGGAATTAAATTGGGCTTGTTAATATGAGCAACCCAACCCAAAATTCCTGGGGCCCAGACACACGCTGTCCATCTTCCTATGTCAGGGCTGGGCGGGTATCCCACCTCTGGGCTCCCACTGTCCTCTCTCACAGCACTAATCCCAAAGCCACGCATCCTTGTGGGCCTCAGGTTCCCCATCTGTTCAGTGGGGCTGATTGCAGCCCCTGTTCATGGGGTTCTTGGGGGATTAAATGAGACCTCACCTGTGAAGGGTGAGCTCTGGGCCTGGCACTAGTGAGTGTGGACAATGGGGAGAGGGTGCCACAAAGTTGGGGACAAGGGGAAAAGCTAGCAGAGTAGCCTCGTGGGTAAGAGCAGAGGCTCTTGAGCTGGACTACATGGGTTCAAATCCCAGCTCTGCCACTTCTTGGCTATGTGATCTGGGCAAGTCACTTAATCTGTGCCTCAGCTTTGCCGTCTGTAAAATGGGAATGATGACAGCACCTTCCTCATAGGTGGCTGTGAAGATTAAGTGGGATGCAATCATAGTGGAAGGCCCCGGAGGGTATATAATACTCAGGAAATGCCAGTGGTTTCTGGGCCATTTCCCCGACGTGAGTCCACGCGGGCAGGGCCAGTTCCTGCCCACGCTAGGAGCACCAGCGTGTAGGGCAGCGCCCGGTGCAGAGTAGGCATTTAATGAACGTTTCTGGAATGACAACTGCAAGGCTGCAAACTGGCAGACGCTATGCTTTTAAAATCTGAATTTGATAATGCAATATATGTTAAGAAAAAAAAAAGAAGAAGAAGGTAGCGGGAGGGGAAGAATGAAGTGGGGGAAATTGGAGGGGGAGACGAACCATGAGAGACGATGGACTCTGAAAAACAAACAGGGTTCTAGAGGGGAGGGGGGTGGGAGGATGGGTTGGCCTGGTGGTGGGTATTGAGGAGGGCACATTCTGCATGGAGCACTGGGTGTTATGCACAAACAATGAATCATGGAACACTTCATCTAGAACTAATGATGTAATGTATGGGGATTAACATAAGAATAAAAAAAAAAGAAAAAACAAAACAAAACAGGTGCTCAGCAAAACCTGCTGAAGACGTGCCCTGGGCGTGTTGATCCGGGAGTTGTGCTAAGCGTTAGCCTTGTTTATCATCCAAACTGGGACATTTTGTGCATGAAAGGGGGAGCTTTTAATTATTCCAGCAAGGTCACAGGCATGACTAGGGGCTGTCCTGGGCCAACGGGAACATGTGGCCACCTTACACTTAATACTCAGTCATGCTTATGAAAGACGCACATTATTATCCCGGATTTACAAATGGCACACTGGGGCTCAGAGAGGTTGAGTAACTTTCCCCAAGTCACACAGCCGGGGAGCAATGGAGCTAGTGTTTGAACCCAGGAAGTCTGCTTCCTGAGCCTTGCTTCTGCTTCCACATGGACCAGGTGTGCAGCGGGGGGAAACTCCAGTCAGTTACTTTTCGGGATGCACACTGGTATCACCCAGCTCTCCTCGGGGTCCGGAGTTGAGTTGAGTTGGTGCGCTCCCCCTGGAGCCCGCAGCAGGGAGATGTCGTAGGATCTGCAACAATGGGTTTCCCCCCAACCCCCTTCCCACACCCCCGGCCACTGCTCCAGCCTGATAGTCACAGAAGCAGAAGGAACCACTGGGTGGGCCTGTCAGCTGTCAAGTCAATGCCACCAGGCAGCCCCTCTGCTTTGGTCCCTTCCAGGGGCTGTGGAAGGGGCCGGGCTGATTTCAGCTCTGCCCTTGACTCCTGGCTGCCTCCACTCCTGGGAGGCAGCTACAGCTCCGTGAAACCCCCCTGGGACCACCCCTGAAGGAAGTCCTCCAAAAAAAGCGCCCATGGCTAATTCCTGCCCCTTTCTCATCACCGTCACTGTCACAGATAGGCAGGCCCGGTCACCCATGCCATCCCCAAGTCCTCTAGACAAGCCAGAGCATCCTAAGTGGTCCCCAGCTTGGCCTCTCACTTACCTTGGCTTTTATCATGGTGCAGTGCAGGGAGCTATTGTCCTGGTCGTAGAGAAGGCTGAACTCCAGGGCACCCAGGGTGGCTGTAGGGGGCAGAGGCAGGAACAAAGAGAACATTCGTTCAGTCATTCAACAAACATTTCCTGAGCATTTACTATGTGCCCAGTCTGGTCGAGGCATTGAGCCTACAGAGGGGAAGAGTCGGTCCCTGCTCTGGACACCCCATCCTGGTAGACCCTCCTCTACCTCGGAGCCCTCGGCACACCTGTGATCACTTAATCATGTGTGCAATTGCCTAGTTAATGACTTCCCATCCTGCTAGATTGAGAGCCCCCCAAGGGCAAGGGCTGTGACTGTCTCGTTCATTGCTGTGTCCCCACTGGGCACAGTACAGGGCACACTTGGTGCTCACTTACTCGCTAAAGGAAGAAATGAGTCTGAGCATTTGCTGTTGCCTCCGCCTGGAATACTCTCCCTCTAGATCCTCACGTGGCTGGTGTCTTCTCATTATCCACATCTTGGTTTAAATGTCACCTCCTCCCTCCCTGATCACTCCATCTAAAGCACCCACCCTCATGGTCATTGCCCTTTTTTATTTCCTTCTTGGGTGTGCTATCTCCATTTGAAACAAACTCTTTGGTATGTTAATTATTTCTCTCCACTAGAATGTTAGTTCCTTTAGATCAGCCATTTTGGCCTCCCCCCCCCCCCATTAGGTAGGCACATTTCCAGAGCAGAAGCAGCCCGTGGCTCACAAGGTGGTGTGGACTCCCCACTCTCCTTTCCCAAGACAGCAGACCCAGGACCCGCGGGAGAGCACAGCTGATATTTCATCCTGGTCATCTGTGAGTGACCGTCAGCCCCTCCACTCACTGGCAGTGTGAGCTTGGCCAGGCCCCTGAAGCTCTCAGAGCCTCGGTCTCCCTATCTGTGAAATGGGATTAGTAGAAGCACCTATTCCCAGGCCCAGTGGGAAGACTAAATAAAGGAGCACGAGCACACAACACACTTAGTAATAAGTGCCGAGCACGAAGGTAGTGCTTCACAGGTGTTGACATTTAGGACTTCTGATGCGCATACTACGTCATCATAATTCCTCTTATGTGTTTAGCACTACACAATAATAATGATTGCCAGTTTACAAAGCAATTTCCCAGGAGGTACCTCAGTTTACCCTCCCCGCAGCTCTGTGTGGGAGGCAGTATTCACTTCCCATTTTACATCAAGGAGAGGTGACACGATGGGCCAAAGCCAGGCCACTGATTATGACTGTAGGTCCACTTCTTCTGTGTGCGTCCTGTCTGTCCACCTGACCAGGAGCTCTTAGAACGCCCCCAACCCCACAACACATCTTAGATCCAGACATTGGTCCGTCCACGTCTCCCTCCAGCTCACAAAGGCCACCCCAGCTCTCCCCCGCTGCTCAGACATACCCAAGATAAGTACACACACTGGTGTGTGCGTGTGTGTGTCCCTAGGACTTTGGGTCTGAGTGGGCGAGGCCCAGAACAGGCACTTTACAAGTCATTGAAGGGATGGATGCAGGAGGAAATGTCTAGGAATTTTTAAATGTTTAAATTATGGTTAAGAAATTACTTTTAGAAGATACACATTAAAGAGTTTTGGAGGCTATTAAAATACATACATATATATATATATATATATATATATATATATGAAATGCTGGGTCATATGATACTTCTGTCTGACTTGTTGAGGAGCCACCGTACTGAACATCTGAACATCGCAAATGTAGTCAAACCGTACTCTTTAAAATGATTTAAATGGTAACTTTGATGTTACATATTTATCACAAAAATATACGTAGCACCTACTCTTTAGAAAGCTGATGTTGTTTTGTGAATTTAGTAACACAAATCTGTATCTTTATAACTTGGTTAATATGTTTATTAGGCTTGGCGCATTGAGGGGCTGTTCCTCTCTCCCCGGGAATGACACCCCGAAGTGACTCTCCCCAGACACCCCTCCTGTAAGGGCCACCTACTTGCTTCATCCGAATCGTAGCTGTTGGCTTCTTCCTCCTCCTCCTCCGGGGGTGGGGGCTGGCGGGCAGGGGCCGCGGCAGGCTGGGGGGCAGCAGCAGATGCTTGGGAATATGGGCCCGGAGGGGGGCCCGCTCGGTCCTCCCTGGCTCCAGCTGCTGAGTAGCCCCCAACTCCCCCCGTTCTCTCCTCCCGCGGCAGGGCCGTGGCCCCAGCATAGCCAGAGTCGCCGGGGGCCACCTCTGCAGGGGAGATGGGGCGAGGGCAGGGAAGAGGCAGCTGAGTCTCTGTGTCATGACCACAGCCCTGCTGCAGCACTGCATTAGTGATGAGCACCTACTGTATACCGGGTGCTCGGCAAGCCTTGTACCACCCCAGCCCAGCCACGGAGGATCAGCACATCCAGTTGACGGGGGAGGGGGTGGGGTGCATCATGCATCATGTCATTCACTGGTCCTCTGAATGTTGCCTTTGTCAAAACCACCTAGGGAAGCTTGCAAAAATGCAGGTTCTCGGGCCCCATCCAGACTCAGTAGGCAGTGCCATGGGCCTCGGAGTCCGTGTCTTATAACAATTCCCAGGAGCTGATTCAGATGCAGGCAAAACAGACCTCATGGGGTACTGATCAGTGGTGTGGGCTCTGCAGCCAGACGGCCTGGGTTTGATCTCTGCTGTGCGACCTGGGGCAAGTTACTTAATGTCTCTGAACCTCAGTTTCCTCACAGTAAAATGGGAATTATAATACCTGAGGGTACTTAAAACTAGTAGTTATTATTTTAAAAATTATCTGCTACATGTACAGCACTTAAAACAGTACCTGGTGAGCTAGAAAGCAATGAAGGAGCCATAGCTCTAGTAACCGATGACGATGCATATACATCATAGGAAAGAAGCACTGTCACTTAGCATGATCTTAATCCATTCCAGGTCATGTGCTAAGGTTTTATATGCCTTAGTTTGTTTAATCCTCCCATCAATTCTGTGAGGTTGTTCCCATTTTAGAGATAAGGAAACAGGGGCTCAGGGAAGTTAAGCGACTTGACAGCTGGGAAGTAAAGGAGCCCAGATTTGAATCCAGGCAGTCTCTGCTCTTAACCACTGTACGTGCTGTCCTTTTCTAGCTATCTAATCTTAGTGAGGACTATCTAGAATTTTGGAATTAGGGAGGCCCCTTAGAGCTCATCAGATGAGTCTCTGGGTGCAGGGAGGGGGACAAAGATCTAGCAGCTCCTGCTCTCCCACAGGAAGAGGGGTGTCCACTGGACAGGTATGGGAAGAAAGGAACACTTGCCTGGTCTCTGATCTGGAAAGCGTCCTGCGGGCCCAGGGCTGGGTTTGCTGCCTCCGGGAGGCCCTGAATGGGGAAAGAGAAAGGGACAGAGCAGGGAAGGTGGCATCATTTGGGTGTTCTTCCCTGTCTCCCACCCCGCCCTCATTTCAGGAGTGTGGACACAGGCCTGGGGGCAGCAGGTACCCAGGGATGCAGGAATGGTCCCACTGGGGGACTCTGAGGTCAGAAAGACCTGGGTTCAAGCCCCAGTGCTTCCTTCCTGGGCCTCAGCTTCCTCCTCCGTGAAATGGGGATTGCTATACCTGTTCTTTGCATTTCACCAGTTGTTAAGAAATTGATGAACAAATGGAGTAAGAATTGTTTGTGAAGTGACAGGCAGGTTTATGCCTTGAGCCCACCATCGCTATGGGGTCATTCCTGGTCCAGTGGATTCCTTACAACTACATTCCCCAAAGCATGGGATGCAGGGGAGAGCCACAGGGAGGGGGCTTGGAATAACATTCAACCACACAGCAAGAAAGTCATTGCAGTTTCCACTGCCTGTCAATACCGACTCCATCATGGAAATGTCTCATTTAGGTGTTACTTCGTCTCTAACACCTCTCTAACTTTTGTGAATTTCCCCTTTGAGCAGAAAAGAACAGGCCTCGGGCTCAGAACCTTCAACAGGCCAGCATACTGAGAATCTCACTGCACAGCTTTATTTTCATTGCATTAATTTTTTATAATTACCCCCTGCAATGGGTTGAATTGTATTCCCCAAAGGATGCTGAAGTTCTAACCCCCCAGTCCCTGTGAATGTGGCCTTGTTTGGAAAGAGGGTGTTTGCAGATGTTCAAGTAAAGATGAGGTCATATGACTATGTCCTTACAAAAAAGGAGAAATTTGGACACAGAGATGTACATAGAAGGAAGACGATGTGAAGGCACAGGGAGAATGCCACCAACCGGCCAAGAAGGTGTGGAACACCAGAAGCTAGGAGAGAGGCACGGAGCGGATTCTCCCTGACAGCCTTCAGGAGGAGCGACCCCCACCAGCACCTTGATTTCAGACTTTTGGCCTTCAGAACTGTGCGACTATAAATATCTGTACTTTTAGGCCACTCGGTGTGTGGTATTTTGTTAGGATAGCCCTAGCAAACTGCTGGGTGTCTTTTGGGCATGGAATACCAGTTTCTCATTTATGCCATTATTATATATATATAAGGTTTCTCTTAAAATAACACAATGTTAACTGCACCGATTAGGCATTATTTCTATTGTCTTATGCAATCCATATTTGTATAGATTTTCCCATATTACCATCTCTTTGGTCACCATTTCTTCCTGACTCTCACACTGCTGTTCTGGGAGCATCTGTCCCCAGCACTTCCTTGACAGAGTCTGTGATAGCAAGTTCTCTCGGTTGCATTTTTCAAGTGAATCAATTTGAAGAAAGATGTGAAGAAGAGAGCAGGCGGCAGGTGCATGAAGTAAGGACTGTGAAAGGGAGTGACAGTGCCTGAGGCGGGGCAGTGGGGAACGAAGAAGCCCTGTCAAAGTGGGTCTGGGACTCGCGTCTCACTCGTGCCCGGCTTCCCCACCCGGAGGATTACTCATTCTCAGGGGCTTCGCGGAGCTGAGGGTTTGGTGGTGGCTGTGGCTTTGCAGAAAGCCCGGCAGGCTCTGCAAGCAAGGATGGGAGGCACCGGGGTCCCAGCTGAGTGACAGTCTGGGCGGGCGGGCAGCAGGTACCTGGCTGCCCAGGCTGAGGCGGCGCTGGGCTCTGCACGGAGGCGGGAGCGGGTCTGGAGGCCTGCACGGAGTTGGCCCGTCGCAAACCTGCCGGGGAAAGGAAAGGAAAGCACCTGTCATGTTCTGCACGTGTGCACGCACATGCACCCACACGTGTGCACACAGAGTGGAAGCAGGAGGGGGCCTGGAACTGGTCAGCTGGCACGAGGCAATGCCTTCTGGGTTTGAACTGAGTGTGGGACCCCGACACCCTCAGCTCCTCTAGACCCTCTCCTCCCCTCCGTGCCTTCTCTCTGTGCAACATTCAGATCCCCTGTGCAGGTCACAGCAGCGACATGGGGGTCGAAAAGTAAAGGTTTCATGATGTTGCCTCCATCTGTGTGAACTTGGGCAAGGGACCTATCTTCTCTGGGCCTCAGTCTCCTCATCTGCGAAATGGGGATAATAGTATCTACCTAGGGTTGCGGTAGAGACGTTATGAAACAATACAAGCAAAGGGCTCAGGACAGCGCCTGGCATGGAGTAAACACTAAATATTATTATTATTGAATCTGGTCTCTGTCTTCACATGGACCTAGCTCTGCCTCCAGCTTCTTGTATAAGCTGTGTGACTTTGGGCTGGTCATTCACCCTCTCTGAACCTCAGATGTCTCATGGAGGCAACAGCTCTATCTACTGGATAATAATGAGTTAACATTTATTTAATGCTTACCATGTTCTGTGTTTCAGGGACTTTACATAGAAGAACTTACTTAATCTCTACACCCCATGAACTGGGCGCTGTATTATCTCCATTTTACAAATGGGGAAGCTGGACACAGAGGGCTAAGGAGCTCACTTAATGTCTCCTTACTGGCTAGTGGCAGAACCAAGGTTTGAATTCAGGCATTTTGTCTCCAGAGTCTGCCTGAGACCATCAAGTGCTACGGTCTCCCGCACAGCTACTGGGGGATCAAAGGGGATAATGTACACAGCAGTTCCTGGCATCCAGAAGGTGTGACATTCCTGGAAGAAAGCCCCGTCCTCTCTCATTTCACTGGGCTGGATCCCACCTTTCCTGAATTCAGCTCTTTGTCCCTGGAGAGATGCTTGAATGCTAATGACAGAAGGTGCTTTGCCACCTCTGGCTGGGAGCCTACCAAGCCCTACAGGTCCTGCAGTAGCACTGTGGTTTGTTCATTTGGGTCCTTGTTCATTCATTCATTCATTCATTCACTCACTCACTCACTCATTCAACAAGTGTTCATTAAATGTCTGCCAAGTGCCAATCCCTAGGCAAAGATGGACAAAAACCATCTTAATTCCTCCAAGAGTGCATGGCCCAGGCAGAGGAAGGAGATAGACACTGAGATAATGAGCTTATAAAACAGCAGCAATGGCCAACACCCACTAAGTGCTTCAGATGTGCCAGGCCATGAGCATCACCTCCCAGAACCCTCACAACTTGACGTCATGTGTGGTATTACAGTCCCCATTTGCAATAGAGAAAATGGCAGTTAAGTGTGCCCAAGGTCACAAAGCTTGGAAGCGGCTAGGACCTCCGACCAAGTTTATCTGACTCCAAAATCCCTGTCCTTAGCTATTATGTTATACCTGCCCCAGGAGGTAGAAAGTGAATAATCGTGCACACTGGGCCCCCACAGCATGTCAGACTCTGCTCCAAGATCTGTACAAGTACCACTGTGGGGTTTCAGTTCACTTAATCCTTTAGAGCAACCCCATGAGCTAAGACTGATTACTGTCATTCTTTCCATTTTACAGTAATTGAAAGCCTGGTGTCTTGATCTGTAAAATGGGAATGCACAGCTGGTAGGTGGTAGAGCTGAGATCTGACCCCACACAGTCTTTGTTCTGGTGTTTGTGCCCTTGACACTGAACTGAAATGGTCATTGAGGTAAATAAGTAACATCACGGGGGATGGAGGCAAGAGGCGACCTCTGGCTGGGGGGATGGGAACAGCTTCCTGGTGCAGGTGGCCTTTGGAGTTTGGGTATACCAACATGAAAGGGATATTGATGCCCAGACGACCTCTGTAGCCTAAAGAAAAGTCGGGATGATTTTGGTTTATTCCACAGCACTAACTCCACATCCCAGATCTGCGGAGAACGGGGCACTGGGAAGTGTCAGGATTACTGAATGGGAAACACAGAGCTGACTTGATTCTTGTCGAGGATCTGGGACCTGAGTTGCAAGTCATCCTCAGCACTCCTGATGGAATTCCCTCCGGGGCTTAGTCTGGCTCATGACTGAGGGCTGCCGGCATGACTGAGCCTTTTACTATACAGCAAGGGCATCTGGGCTCCAGCAGATCAGGAAGGGTTGTAATCATCCCTTCTGCAGATGGCACAAAGAGGATAGCACAGACATGTCTGTGTTTTAGAGCACCAGACCCCTCTGAGTAACCTCAGGGCCACCAGATAGGCTCTGACTTGCCATACCTGTGCGATGTGTGTATGATATAAAAATACAAGATGCTGGCCCTTCCTCTGCTCAAATATTCTTCTGTGGCTCCCTAGCACCTTCAGGGAAACGTCCAAACTCATTTATCTAACTTTTCAGGCTCTTGAGCAATGGTTCTCAAACTTTGGCATTCACAGAAATCACCTGAAGAATTTGCTTAAGAAGTGCAGAGTCTGGGTCCTGACCCCAGAAATTCTGATTTAGTAGGTCTGGAATGGGGAAAAGAACAAGTGCTTTTTTTTTTATTCTTATGTTAATCCCCATACATTACATCATTAGTTTTAGATGAAGTGTTCCATGATTCATTGTTTGTGCATAACACCGTGCTCCATGCAGAATGTGCCCTCCTCAATACCCACCACCAGGCTAACCCATCCTCCCAGCCCCCTCCCCTCTAGAACCCTCAGTTTGTTTTTCAGAGTCCGTCGTCTCTCATGGTTCGTCTACCCCTCCGATTTCCCCCGCTTCATTCTTCCCCTCCTGCTACCTTCTTCTTCTTCTTTTTTTTTTTTCTTAACATATATTGCATTATTTGTTTCAGAGGTACAGATCTGAGATTCAACAGTCTTGCACAATTCACAGCGCTTACCAGAGCACATACCCTCCCCAGTGTCTATTATCCAGTCACCCCATCCCTCTCACCCCACCCCCCACTCCAGCAACCCTCAGTTTGTTTCCTGAGATTAAGAATTCCTCATATCAATGAGATGATAGGATACATGTCTTTCTCTGATTGACATATTTCGCTCAGCATAGCACCCTCCAGTTCCATCCACGTTGTTGCAAATGGCAAGATCTCATTCCTTTTGATGGCTGCATAATATTCCACTGTATATATATACACCACCTCTTCTTTATCCATCCATCTGTCGATGGACATCTTGGCTCTTTCCACAGTTTGGCTATTGTGGACATTGCTGCTATAAACATCGGGGTGCATGTACCCTTTCGGATCCCTACTTTTGTATCTTTGGGGTAAATACCCAGTAGTGCAATTGCTGGATCATATGGTAGCTCTATTTTCAACTTTTTGAGGACCCTCCATACTGTTTTCCAGAGTGGCTGCACCAGCTTGCATTCCCACCAACAGTGTAGGAGGGTTCCCCTTTCTCCGCATCCCCGCCAACATCTGTCATTTCCTGACTTGTTAATTTTAGCCATTCTGACTGGTGTGAGGTGGTATCTCATTGAGGTTTTGATTTGGATTTCCCTGATGCCGAGCGATATTGAGCACTTTTTCATGTGTCTGTTGGCCATTTGGATGTCTTCTTTGGAAAAATGTCTGTTCATGTCTTCTGCCCATTTCTTGATTGGATTCTTTGAGAACAAGTGCTTTTAACACGCACCTAAGGTACATGGATCTGCCGATCCCCCGTCTTCTACTGCTCTCTCAGGGAAAGAGATTCTGGCTTTAATATGCTTTAGATAGTGACAAGCGCTAATTAGAGCTGGGTGTCAGTACTCTGGGAACTCAGAGGAGGGAGCAATTAGCTCAAGGTGGAGCAGGTGGATGCTAGAAGCTTCATAGATGGTAATAACATTTACACTGACTCTCGAGGGACAGAGGGTCAAATCTGGCTCAGGAATGTTGTGTGACTGTCTTTTCCCTCAAGAGGCAAAATAATACGGAGGCTTAAAAGCACAGGCTTCATATACAAAAGTTAACTAAAAATGGATCAAAGAGGGGGCGCCTGGGTGGCTCAGTTGGTTGAGCGTCTGACTCTTGGTTTTGGCTCAGATCATGATCTCAGGGTCGTGAGACTGAGATTCTCTGTCTCCCTCTGCCTCTCCCCACTGCACACTCTCTCTCTCTCAAATCAATTAATCAATCAATCAATAAATCTTTGGCGTGACTGAACATGACACCCAAAGCACAGAAAACAAAAGAAAGAAAAATTTGACTCGTCAAAATTAAAAACTTTTTTTTTTAAGATTTTTTATTTATTTATTTGAAAGAGAGAGAGAGAGAGCAAGCAGGAATACAAGCAGGGGGAGTGGGAGGGAGAAGCAGGCTTCCCGCCGAGCAGGGAGCCCGATGCGGGGCTCGATCCCAGGATCCTGGGATCATGACCTGAGCCGAAGGCAGACGCTTAACGACTGAGCCACCCAGGTGCCCCCAAATTAAAAACTTTTGTGCATCAAAGGACACTATCAATGGGGCAAAAGGGCAACCCACAGAATGGGAGGAAGTATTGACAAATCATAGATCTGGAAAGGGATTAATATCCAGAATATATAAAGAACTCCTGTAACTCAACAATAATGAAACAAACATCCCAATTAAAAAAATGGGCAAAGGACTTGAATAGACATTTCTCCAAAGAAAATATACGAATGGCCAATGAGCACATGAAAAGATGCTCAACATCACTAATCATCAAGGAAATGGAAATCAGAAACATGAGATACCAGGGCGCCTGGGTGGCTCAGATGGTTAAGCGTCTGCCTTCGGCTCAGGTCATGATCCCAGGGTCCTGGGATCAAGTCCCGCATCGGGCTCCCTGCTCCTTGGGAGCCTGCTTCTTTCTCTCTCTGTCTCTCATGAATAAAAAAATTAAAAAAAAAAAAAAAAAAGATTTAAAAAAAAGAAACATGAGATACCAGTTCACATGCATTAGGATGGACACACACACACTATACAAATGTTGGTGAAGATGTGGAGAAACTGGAACCCTTGTGTATTTCTGGTGAGAATGTAAACTGGTGAAGCTGCTGTAGAACCCACGATGGGTGGTTCCTAAAAAACTTAAGCATAGAATTACCATATGATCCAGCTATTCTACTTCTAGGTATAGACCCTCCCCAAATTAAGAGCAGGGACTCAAAGAGATATTTGCACACCAACATTCATTATTCACAACAGCCAAAAGGTGGAAACAACCCAAAGGTCCATCAACAGATGAATGGATAAATAAAATGCCTATCCATGCAAGGGGATATTTTTCAGCCTTAAAAAGGAATTCAGGTTCTGATACAAGTCACAACATGAATGAACCTTGAACACAGGATGCTCAGTGAAAGAAGCCAGTCACAAAAGGCCACATATTGTGCAATTCTATTTATATGAGATGTCAAGAATAAGCAAATCCTTAGTGGTTAGTGGTTACCAGGGGCTGGGGAGGGGGGGAAATGGAATGCAGAATTGTTTAATGGGTAAAAGTTTCAGTTTGGGATGAAATGGCTCTGCTGATGGTTAGTGGTGATGGTTGCATGACACTGTGAATGCACTTAAGGCCACTGAACTGTAGACTTAAAAATAGTTAAAATGGTAAATTTAATATTAAGTATATTTTACCACCATTTAAAAAGATGTTTAAAAAAAGCACTGTCAATAAAAAGTTCACCTCTGGAAGAGAAAAACAAGCACAAGCTTTGATGTTGGATAGACATGGGTTTAATTTCCATTTGAACCAATGATCAGCTGTGTGACCTAGGGCAAGTGGCATCACTTCTCTGAGCTCAGTTTCTCCATCTGTGAAATGGGAAGCATAGAGGTCTTCATAACAGGGTTTGGGGTTGTGACAAGGATTAAATGAGATGTTCTACGCGAAGAGCTTGGCCCAGCACTGGCACATAGTAAGTACACAACAAATATTCCATATGATGTTGCAGAGCTGAGAAATTCTTCTTGCTCTATGAATCTGAATCATAGGTTCATTAGGGGCTGTGCACAGTGGATTAAGCACAAGGTATGGGCCCAGCCCTCTCGCCAAGAAGAAGAGGGACTACGGGCCTAAGCTACAGACCCACTATTGAAGAAGAGAAGCCAGAGGTCACCATGGGACCTGAATATTTAGCCCATCTAACTTTGGACACAGTCTCATCCCCTTGTTACAAAGGAAATGAAGTGGCTCTGAGGGCTCACACAGGAGGTAGGGAGCTTTGATCTCTCCCATCCAGTAGACATTTTTCCCAAAATCCAGGAATCAAGGACTCCCACGGTGGGCACTCTTGGCAAATAAATCCCCCATGAGTGCAGTCAGAGGTGCTGAGCACCAGCGAGCCAAGAGCAGCTATGAGTGACATCCTGGTCGTGCTGAACCACCCCATCCTCACGGACAGCGGAGGCCACTGGCCAAGGAAGAGAACAAAGAACTTGGGTGGGTCTGTGAGAGGGAAGTGTCCCGACTTTGCTCAAAGGCAAGTTGCATTTTCCTCAGGGCTTCCAGGGAGGAAGGCAAAACCCCTACGTTTTCCTGACATTTGGCATTAGAGCAGGAAATGGGTATAACCAAACATATGGATGTCTAGAGTCAGAATTGTTTCTGAGTTGTCTTTCCTCTACCTTAGACTAGAACCAACATCTAAAACGGAATGTGGCACGCAATAGATGCTCAATAAATACTGAATGAATACATGGATTAAAACATTGTCACCCCCAATCCTTTGGATTCTCCTCATCCAGGAAGCCTGTCTGGATTTGCCCATGTTTCCTACCTGCTGGGCTCCTGCTGGAGTCACTGGCAGCCCCACTGTGGCCGTGGTCCCAGCTCTCTGAGTCCCGGCTGGATGAGCTCACGCGTGCCTCAGAGGCCCTGCGCATGGGAGTCCCATAGCTTCCTCGCCCGGGAGCAGAGGCTGGTTCAGGACCTGGAGGGAAAAGAACATGTTAAATGGAGAAAGGGCATCAGAGGGATGGGATAGAAGGATAGAAGGGCTCCTGTCCCAAAATAGAAGACTGAGTCAGCAGAACCCACCTGTCTTCTGACCTGGGCCCCTCCTGTCTTCAGTGTCACCTGGAGAGAGAGAGAGAGAGAGAGAGAGAGAGAGAGAGAGAGAAATGATGGGGAGTCCTTATTTTACAGTTTCTGGAGAGCCCTCGCTTAAGGAACACACAAAGGGGCCCAGTACCACTCTTAAGAACTTTTACAAAATGAACTGGAAGTCTCCTCTCCCAACATCCCCTGTGAGGTAGCTCCCATTTACTATTTCACATGATTTCCTTTGTGTGCACGAGCATGTGTGAGCATGCACAAGCCTTTAAAAAGAACAAATTGGGATTATTAGCCAATGATCGTACAAACTGTTCTAGAATGTTCTCTGTTCACTTGCCAGGACTCACCAGGCATGCTCCAACCTCAAGTCCTTTTGCACGTGACATTCCCAAATGTTCCATGAGCCCTCTCTACCCTTCCCCCCAAATACTAGCTCCTTGGACAGCCCTTCTGTGACTATTCTGTCCAATATGGAGCCTCCTGGCACGTCTGTCCCCTTTACCCGCTTCATCTGTCCTCCGGACACCATCACTATCTGGTATTACATGGTATTTGCCCGTGCTTGTTTGTTGAGTATCTGTTCTCCCCAGGACAATTTTAGCTGTGTGAGGGCAAGGATTTTGTCTGTTCCACTTAACACTGTATTCCTAGGGCACAGAACAGTCTGGAACTCACTGGGTGTTCAGTAAGGGTTTGTTAAAAGAATATCGAAAGCTTCTATCGTGGGCATAATTCCAAATCTATAATATACATTTCCATCGTTCAATTATAAAAGATGCCTAATATAGCACGGTGTGGCTATACCATAATCCATTAAACAATCCCATTAATGAACACTTAGGGTTTTCCAGGGGTTCTGCTACCATAAATAATGATACAATAAATATACTTACACATGTATCTATTTATATTGGTCCTTTTATTGCTGTTAGATATATTCCCAGAGAGGGATTGCCAGATCAAATGGCATGTACACTTCAAATTTTAATAAATTCTGCCATAACACTTTCCAAAAGGCTGGAGGTGATTCATAGTCCTACCAACAGTTTGTAAAGTATCCATTTCCCCCACCTTCACCAGCACTGGATGTTACTACCAATAATTTTTCATGTGTCACTATTCAATGCTGGTGATGTTAATTCTTTCTAGTGATATGAATAGGTGTTATATCAAGCATAGTTTTGGGGTTATTTGCTTTGTCCAGAGTATATCTGATAAGCTAATTCATACTATTTATGTGTGTGTCTGTGTCTTTAACATTATTTAATATTGGTCAATATTTACTAAGTGCTACATTCCACAAAGCACCTCCCATCTAGCATCTCATTTAATCTTCAAAATAACCCAGTGAGTTATTAACCCCATTTCACAGATGAGGAAAGAGTCTCAGAGGGCTAGGCGACGTGCAGAGCTGAAACTGAGATTCAGGTCCTCTTGGTCTCAGATGTTCTAGATCTTTTTTTTTTAAAGATTTTATTTATTTATTCATGAGAGATAGAGAGAGAGAGAGAGAGGCAGAGGCAGAGGGAGAAGCAGGCTCCCTGCGGAGCAGGGAGCCCGATGCGGGACTCGATCCCAGGACCCTGGGATCATGACCTGAGCTGAAGGCAGACGCTTAACCGACTGAGCCACCCAGGCGTCCCTCAGATGTCCTAGATCTTGATGGTGAGGCTGTGCAGTCTTCTCAGGCTACAGGGGGGAAAGCTTAACCAGGAAGAAGGATGTTCTGGGGTGACACTGGGGGCTCCTTGGGGACACGGTATATATTGAAAATTCGGTAATTCTCTGCAAGGAATAGACGTTGCTTGGGCCATGTCAGGAAGAAAGCATTTGGTGGATGCCTTTTCAGTGCCAGGCCCCAGACTGCACACCTTTAGAAGTCATCTCACGGGAGACAAAGTTGGACATTTTGACCTTTGAGACCTTTAGCTACAACTTACCTTTCAGAAGCATTGCCTGCACTCAACTCCAGAACTGACGTTCAGACCAGATTTTATCACTTAGTGTTAACTGAGATTATGACAAGGGCCTCTTCTGAGGTCAGTCCCATTGGTCTCACCAATTAAAATACGTTTGCATTACTTTTTTGCCTCTCCCTTTTATCGTCATTTTACTAATTAATAGTAATACTTGAATAAGAGAGATAATATCCATAGCCGTGGTAATTTTCTTTTGGTAATTTCCCTTCTACTCATCTTTCACTTTTAATTAGTACCATTTCAGATAGAGGAGATGGTTGATAGAAGAAGTTGCAGGGACAAGGAAGGCCTTCCCAGCAAGTCACCCTCAGGCCCCAGTATGTATTGTGGTGATAAGAGTCTCTCAGTTTCTAATTTTAATTTCCATCTCTTGTACCTCTAAATACTCCATGAGGGATGACAACGAAAGCTTTTGGCAGCCTGGCATTGCTGGAGAGTTTCCTGTGCTACCCTCTCTTTTTTTAAAAGTTTTAATTTTAATCCCACCATTATACAATAGTGTTACTGTATTACAATATACTGTGAAGTGTTATATTCATTCCAGACGTACAATACAGTGACTCAACACTTCCATACAACACCCTGTGCCCATCATGACAAGTGCACTCCTTAATCCCCCTCACCTAGTTCATCCATCCCCCCACTCCTCCCCTCTGGTAACCATCAGTGTGTTCTCTACAGTTAAAAGACTGTCTTATCTTGGTTTCTCTCCCTCTCTCCCTTTGCTCGTTTGTTGTTTCTTAAATTCCACGTATGAGTGGAATCATATGGTATTTGTCTTTCTCTGACTGACTTAGCATTACACTCTCTAGCTCCATCCATGTTGTTGTAAATGGCAAGATGTCATTCTTTTTTTATGGCTGAATAATATTCCATTGTGTGTAGATCTATATTTATATCTACCATGTCTTCTTTATTCATTCATCAATTGGTGGACACAGGCTGCTTCCATACCTTGGCTACTGTAAATAATGCTGCTATAAACATAAGGGTGCACGTACTCCTTTGAATTAGTGTTTTTGTATTCTTTGGGTAAATACCCAGTAGTGTGACTGCTGGATTGTAGGGTAGCCCTATTTTTAACTTTTTGAGGAAGCTCCATACTGGTTTCCTGTGCTACCCTCTTGATAAGGGTTCATGGTGAGCTGTGCAGAGGATATAGGGTTCCTAAACCCAAGCCCAGAGGCTGGCTGTTCACCAGCTGGGTAGAAACATAAGACATCATGTCAGGACATCTTCTGGGTAGACCAGTTAGCCAAGATCTGTTCTTGGTCCTAAAAGGAGAAGGTGTTTTGTCCTACCTTGGGTTGGAGCTCGGGCAGCATGCTTGGGCTCAGGGGCGACCTGCTCAGAGGCAGCAGGCTCACTGACAGGCTGCTGGGGCTTGGTCTTCCTTATAGGCATAGGCTGTGGGAGGACCTGTTTGGGGAAGCCCTTGAAGAACCATGCTCCGGAACGCTTCCACACCTAGGGGAAGAGAGGGAGAGGATGAAGACACGGCAGCCAATCACTAAGAGTCCTGCCTTCACGAGTGCCACTTTTTAACTTTGCTCCCTGCCCACAGTACGGAGCCTGCCACAATTCTTACTTGACTCACACAATATCCCCAAACACTCAGTAGGCAGGGCCTGAGTAGACCCATTTTCTTGATGGAGAAAGTTGAGTATCAGAAAGGTGATGAACTGGTATGAGGTTACCCAGTGAGAGAGTGGAAGGACAGTAAGTGGACTCCAAGTCTTCCACCTCTTAAATATGGTGTGCTCTCTACTTCGAGGAAGAGAAGAGTCATGGAAGCAGGAGAAAAGAAATTCTTTCAAACGTCATGGACTGTTCTGCCAGTGTTCACCGCTGAGCTGGCTCCTTTTTACCAATCCCTTAGGACATATACCTAGTCAGGTTCCCCAGCCCTCGACTGCCACCCGGTTTCCCTGGTTACAGTGAGGAAGGGTGCCCCAAACAAGGAAGGGTGTCCCAAAAGCCAGATGGGACCAATCGACTCACCTCTCTCTGCTCAATGCAGATTTTGCAGAGCCACACGGGATGCGGGCGGTTACTGGAGGTTTCCACTCCACACTTGATGCAGACATTCTGGGGACAAAATATAGTCCAGGGCACACTCAGATATGCCAGGCTCTGAGCTGCCAGTGATCAGGGCGAAGGGGTTGGGAAGGGTGGCAACTGAGCCCCATTCTCTCTTGGTGGATGTAAAGAGCTTGAACTCTTTCTCACCTCCCTCCCATGACCAAGGCCAGTTAGGATTAAAGTTCCAATCTGAGTCTTCATTTCCATTAACAAGAACTGGAGTCACTCCCCGGTACTGGATGAGTGAATTCTCCTAAGTTCTCCAAGAGTCCCTGTGGGGTCTGAGTTTTCAGTGTCCACACAGGGGAGATCGCTGACATGAGTTTTCAAGAGGAGAGGTCACATATTTATTTGTTCATTATTTCTTCTTTCCTGCATGAATCTGACCTAACATAGCCTATGGCTGCAGGTTCAGCTCTCCAAGAAGAAAATTACCTGTATAAAAGCTATGACTGTGTGATGGTTAGAATGTTATACTTTTGGCTGAGTTGCCTGGCAGTCAAGACAAAAAGGAAAACCTAACAGGTCACGAAATTTTCACTATCTGGTTGACTGCAGCAGATTAAGTGTTTTAGCCTAGATAAACTTTCCCCAATACCGTACTCTAAATGTTAAGGGGGATTCCAAGCAGGAGATGCCAAGTGACATTATGGATGTCTCCAGCTCAGGTGTTCCCCTGAATTCCTTTCCTGGGAATTGGGCAGACCCAAGGGCGGTTGTATCCGTGTCCTGGAATCATCAAGTGCCAACAGCTTGAGGGGAGGGTGCAGGGTGGAGGGAGCACAGGGAGACTCGCCTTCAAGAATGAATGTTCAAGAAGCCCAATGGCTCTAACTTGGCTGGAGAGGGGCTTTCTAAGCCAGGGTAAGAGGATGCTGGGTAAACCTTTCATGTACACACAGATGTAGACACCTGCCTGGCATGCTCTTGAGCCTGACACATAACTCGCTAAGCCATAACCAGGATACTTGGAGGCTCAATCATAGCTCAAGTCCTACCTCAGGCTCCCAAGTTCATTCTAGATGGAGCTGAGCTCCAAGGGGACAGAAGAGTCAGAGCATCTTCCAGGAGAGGAACCAGAATCAGGGTTGCCTAGAAGATAGTTGGGCATGGGAGCACCCCCAAAGGAATCATATGCTGGCAACTACCCTTCAGGATCGAAGCTCCATCCCCAAGACCCAGGGCCCCCCAGGGCTGGCTTGAGCCCAGGCCTAGCTCTGTGCATGAGAAGAGCAGGGAAGCAGGGAAGAGGAGGGTGATGGTACCTTCTTACAGTCCTCACACACCACACAGGTGGAGCCCAGCATCCCCAGTTGTTCTCCACACAGGATGCAGCGGTTCACCCCATCCCCGGCCACGTTCTTCCTCATGTTCTCCAGACGGTCCACCAGGCGCCTGGAAGCAGAGACAGAATCATGAGGGCCTTACAGGACCAGGGACCACCAGCATCTCCCACAGTATCAGGCTGATGGTCTTACCCTTCTCTGAGTCGTGGGCTCCTGAGTGTCTGATGATAACTGCTGGATCCTTCCCCAGAAAAAGGCACACGTAGATGAAATTCTGGTACATTTTCAGACCACCGCAGACCCATGTCCCATATCTCCCACCTCTTCTACTGACCGTGGACTAAGCACCTTCTCTAGACTTTCAATCTCCCGTTATCTCTGTTTATCTAATTGTCTACCTTATCTAATTGTCTTCCCTTGGATGTCTTTGTGGGCATCTCAAAGTTTACTTGCAGCTGCTCTTCAACTTGGCTCTTCTCCAGCCCCATCCCTAGCACACCTGCTCCCATTCTCAGGATGGAGCTGGACCCTACCCCCTCCCCGCCCCCTCCACAGGCCGGGTTCCAGCTTCGGGCACCAGGGGCATGAGAACCGCTGGGAGGCAATTCAGGGATCACAGGCTCTAGAAGGTCCCTGGTAGCCCTGCCTGGCAGCCACCTGATACAGACTCTCCCCACAGGCCCTCCTCGCTCCTGCCATCCCCGCAAAGTGTTCTGACTAGCAATGTTATAAATAGCAGCTTCTCCCTTTGTGCTTCATTCGCAGGAGAGCCATTCTGCCCCAGGGCGAGCCAAGAGCTGCCTGCAGGCTCCAGAGCCTCCGCTGTGACCCAGATTGGACAGAGCGCTTCGGGAGGCAGGATGCGCAGAGCCAGAGGCGGCCCTCTCCTTCCTCCTCCTCCTCCTCTTCCCTCCTTCTCCCTCCCTGGGTTCTCCCTAGAAACTGTTTTTATAGGATGATGGGTGGGGGCAGTCACCAGGTGCAAGCCCCAGTCCACGGTCTCAGAACACCTATCATAACAGTCGCTGTTGTTTACAGAGCACTTACCATGTGCCAGATGCGGACCTAAGCACTTCACCTGGATCTTCTTAATGAGTCCTTCCAACAGCACAATACGCTGAGCACTATTCTTGTGCCCATTTTCCAAGTGGGAAAACTGAGGCACAGAGAGGTTAAGTGATTTACTCAAGTCACGCAGCGGGGAGGTGGAGAAAGCTGGGATCCAGACCCAGGCACAGTATGTCCTGAGTCCCTGTTCTTAACTGTAATTCTACACTCCTGATCTGTGTCGGGCAGAGCCATGGGGATCTTCTTGAACTGTTTGATCTCCACTCGGCTCGCCCCGCCCCTGCAGTCCCCACACCAAGGGAGACCTTCAGTCATTGGTAAGCACCAAGTTACACACACCCCGTTACCCCGGCTGGTTCTGTCCCTCTGCCTCTCACTTCCCTGAGCTTGGGACAAGACACCCAACAGCTGCCCCATCATTTTGCTTCCCTGAAAAGCCTTCAATGTAGGGTTGAGAAATCTGCAGTTTGGCCCTGGATTTTGCCTCTCTGGGCTTCGATTTCCTCATCTGTAAAACAGAAGGTGTTAACGCTGAATCGGTGGTTGTCAAACTGTGCTTTATGGCACCCCAGGGTTCCTTAGAGCCAGTTTAGGGGCCACCCACTGTAGTGGTGGGGTGGGGGGTGATTCTGAGGGTCCAGAAAACCCTCCTTCACCCACAGCATGTCTGCATTATCACTTTTGTTTGTTTAGGCTGTTGAATTAGATTTCCTTTGGAAAGCTGCAGTTTAAAGAAATGGCCTGAAATTGTCCAGAGCAGGTAAACTTCAGGATGCCTTTCTTTTTTTTTTTTTTTTTTAAGATTTTTTTATTTATTTATCTGAGAGAGAGAATGGGAGACAGAGAGCATGAGACGGGGACGATCAGAGGGAGAAGCAGACTCCCCGCTGAGCAGGGAGCCAGATGTGGGACTCGATCCCGGGACTCCAGGATCATGACCTGAGCCGAAGGCAGTTGCTTAACCAACTGAGCCACCCAGGCGCCCCTCAGGATGCCTTTCAATGCCACAGAATTATAAAATATTATGAGACAATGAGGCGAGCTGATGGAGGCGGGGGATGGTAAATGCATGGTGACATTCTTATTGTACACACTTTCCTATTTTACCGATTTCTTCCTTCATCCACCACCCTAGCCAGGAAATGGTTAGATTTTATTCTTCTCACTCTAGCAGGGCAGGTCCCAAAGCACAGAGAGGGTGAGAGGCTGGCCTGGGGCTGTTCAGCGAGGGTGAGTATCTAGTTCTCTGGGTCAGGAAATCATCTTTGCTTTCCATGAAACCCTCCTGGCTTCCCGCCTCAGGTCAAGCCTCAGGAAGACAGCCCAGGCCAGATGACCCAATTTTAAACTATAGTGCGCTCTGCTCAGGAGGCTTAGAGGCTTTCCTGCCTCCTCTTGGAAAATCAAGGCCACGGCTTCACTCACCGCTTGCAAAACCCACACTCTGAGCCTCCACCCAGATGCCTGTTCCTTGCACTGTTCACTCCTAAATGCCGAAAGGCCCCATTAATAGGCCTTGTACGGGGAGTGTCTCATTAGCTCCTATCGTAGAGCAAATGGCATGGAAAAACAACAGATTTAAGATCATTATTCAGATGTCTCAGCTTGGGGACCCTCATTATTTGTGAATTTGGCCGAGACCAATAAGCATAGAAGCACGCGTGGGCTGGGAAGAGCACACCTTCGTCGCTCCTCCAAGATCTCTCCTGCAGCCCACTCATGAGGACACCCTCTCTGCGGCCTCCCGTGCTAGGACCTCAACACGGACAGCTGCCACAGCTTGAGGACTTGAGCTATGATTGAGCCACAGCCAAAGGTCATAAACTTAGAAGTGAAACTTTGCAGGAAGCTAAGTCAAAATCACAGATGGGTCTTTATCCCGGTGATAAAACACTTCGGTTTCTTTACCCCAGAAGGAATGTTTGTTCTTACCAGTCTTGGCAGGAGCACGCTCTATGCATCCTGAAGGATGCCTGCAACCCTCCGCGCATGTCAATCACCCAGGGAGCCTTCGAAAAGAATACCGAGGCACGAGGCACGGAGCCCCGACTCTCAACTTCGTCAGCTATGGGTCTGCTGAAGCCCCGTGAGCAGTATTAGAGTGTGCAGCCCTGTGGGGAGCCACTGCACGGCGGGGAGGGGGGTTCTCAAAATTCACAGTGCTTCTAGATCACCCTGGGAGAGTGTTCAGCATGCAGACAATGATTCTGTGGGATTGCGGCAGGGCCTGGGAATCTGAATTTCGGAGCGGCTCCCTGAATGCTCCTGACGCTGGTGAATTCCTGGCCACACTCCGGGAAGGGCTGAAGGAAGGAAGGGGGCGGTAGGGCAAACTGCATGGGAAAATGCTCTCCTTATTATGTTAAAGGGGGAAAAAGACACCCCCCCAAAAACCCAGGATGTAGAACTGTAGTCAGGGTGTGAATTGGGATTTGGAACATGCTCATCTGAATCTCCTCATGATGTGTACTAGACAAAAAAAAATTTAGAAAGAAAACACACCCAAATATTCACAGTGAGAATTACTGGGTGGTGGGATTATAAGTAACATTTATTTCCTTCTTTTTTTTAATTTTCCTTCTTTAATGCCTCTGTCTCCCTCCCTCCTCAAGCACCCGATTAGGTGGCCTCCCCTATGCTTCCTTAACCTCCCACCACGAACATGTGTTGCCTTTATATTAGAAGAGAAAGTGCATTTTTGAAGATCGAGAGCAGGTAAGGCAGGGTTAAAAGACGTGGGTTTGAATCCTATCTTCTCTCCAGTCAATAGGCTTGAAAAGCCTCTGTTCTCTGGGGGCCCTTTTCCCAGACTTTACTGTGAGGGGTTAGATGAGTTGCAGCTCAAGCTTCCTCCCACAGGCAGCAGTCAGGGAGTCTCAGATCCTGAGGCTGAAACACCAAGACTTCCCCTGGTGTCTTGAAATAGAAGGTCCCGCCATGCCTAAGAGAAGGCCCTCTCTGTATCAGCAGCCTGGTTTGTTTGCCAGTCTAATGCGTCCACATTAAGAGCCCAATTAACTGGACACCGTACGTGCCTGTCACTCTCTAGTTATGTCTTTACATGCCCGATTAACTTTATGATTACCACTCATGCCTTGCATCCAGGAAACATATCCATCACCAGGCTGGGCGCTTAAGGGGAGCTGCTGTTTACTCCGTGACATCTCCCATTTCCCAGGATGCTCCCAGAAGCACCAGAAAGGGTACATCTCCTCCTCTGGGCCTCAGCGGACAACCCCCCTGGAGGTGATGGGAAGTGGATTCCCAACTTGGCCTGACCTTGCTGTCCAAATGGAAGCAGATGCGCTACTCATTCATTCAAATATTTATGGAGCACTTGCCATGTGCCAAGTAGACAATGAGGACCCAACAGGGAGTAAAACAGGTGAGTCCCTGCCTGCGTGGAGCTGGCATTGCAGAGAGGGCTCGGGCATTACTGAATTCATCACCTAGATCATCATAATCACGCTCATAGTAAGTTCTCTGAAGGACAAGTATAGGCAGCCAGGAGAATGCAGAAGAGAGGGACAGGAACCGTCAAGAAGGGGCCTCCGAGGAAGTGACCAATGAGTTGAGACCTGAGGATAAAGAGGAGCTGACCCAGTAAAGAGGGTGAGGAAAAGCACTTGGAAGAAGAGGGAATAGTATGTGCAAAGGCCCTGAGACATGTTCAGCATGGCTCGTGCGCTGGGTGGAGGGAGATGAGGCTGGAGGGGTGGGCAGGGCCCACTCCATTCTGGGTCTTGATGGGATATAGCATCAAGGGGCTTTAGGTAGAGGAGGCTCCACGTCCCCCGTTTTGAGACAACACGTGGACATAAGAATGGAGCTCTTCAGATGCTCAGAGCAGTGCGAGTTTCAGATGCTGCAATGGGTCCAGGCAGAATGAGGCAGGTAAGTCCCCAGACTTTGTCTACACATGGAGCTGCACCAGGTCTCTGGAAACTACAGGATTGTCCCCGGTGGGTCTAAGTCAGTACTGCTAAGAGTACAGTAGCAGGAGGGCCTTGAAATCCCACTGCCCAATAGCAGGCTCAGGGA